ATAAACAAGTATTGTAAATACAGTATTAACAGTACTGACATAGAGATTAAGATAATTATTTAGAGATTAAAAGATTTATAGAAACTTCTAGCTGTAGTCAAGAATAATACACAGATTCTATCACAGTATAAGAGATTTAAGAACTTATTCAAGTAGCTAGAGTAACCTGAATTATCTTAGCATGGAAAGTATGACTATATTATTTTTATAAAGAAAAAAAGTTATTAGTATATAGAAAGATTTATCTAATGTCTGAAAAGAAATTACAGGTATTATAAGAATATATTAATAACCAGCTGGTTAAAGATAATATTAGGCCTTTGAAGTCATCAGTAGGATATAGAGTTTTATTTATACTGAAAAAGAACAGTAATTTATAACTATACATGGATTATTAATTACTAAATATTATTATAATCAAGAATTAATACCCATTATCTTTAATTTCAGAAATCTAAAATAAGATATAAGAAATAAAGTGGTTTATTAAACTTAATATTATAAATATATATTATTATATACGTATTACAGAAGGTAAAGAATAGAAAACTATATTTAGAATAAAGTATAGATACTTTAAGTACTTGATTATATTATTTAAACTTATTAACACACCAGCATCATTTCAGTAATATATTAATAAGATTCTTAAAGAATATCTTGATAGGTTTATAATTACTTATCTAAATAATATATTAATCTTCTTAAAGACTGAGGAAGAATATATAAGATATATAAGACTAGTTCTATATAAACTATATTTATATCAATTATAATACAAGCTAAAAAAATATGAATTCTATATATAGAAAACAGAGTTCCTGAAACACTAGATATCCACAGAAAGAATCTATACTGAGCAAGCTAAAGTACAAGTTATACAGGATTAGCCTTAATCTAGAAATCTGAAAGAACTACAGTAATTTATCAGATTAGTTAACTACTATTAATAATTTATAAACGGATATACTATCTATATAATACCATTCTTCAAGCTTATAAAAAAGTCAAAGAAGTATTAGTGGAAAGAACCATAGTAGAGCGTGTTTAAAGATATTAAGTAATAACTTACTATATTATTAATACTTATACAGCACAATCCAGAAAAAAAAATAACCATTAAAACTAATATATTAAATTATGCTATTAATATATGTATGACGTAACCCGGAGAAGATAGAAAGCTAAGACTAATTATATTTTACTTAAGAAAGTTAGTTCAAGCAAAACTCAACTACAATATTTATAACAAGGAATTGCTAGCTATAATAATAATGTTTAAGTAGTAAAGGGTCTACCTTAAAGAAATAAAGTACACCGTCATTATAAAGATAGACCATAAGAACTTAATCTACTTTATAATAACCAAAGAATTGACTAGAAGATAGGCATGATAGGCTAAGATTTTATTATAATATAACTTCAGAATTATATATTGCAAGAGAATAGAGAATAAACATATAAATATACTGAGCTGCAGGCCAGACTATGAATTAAATAAAAAAGCTATTGAACCAGCCATCCTGAAGCAAAATATGGATAGATTGATCAGCTATAACAGGGCTAATCTAGCAGTAATGTTAGAAATAGATAATAATCTAATTAAGTAATTAACTAAAAGTATAAAAAATAATAAAACATTCTAAGAAATGAGTAAGGACTTACTAGACAAGATTACTATTAATAAAAATAGACTAGCCTATTTTTATGGATTAATCTTTATATTAACTATAATAAGAACAGAGATTATGGCTAGACACTATGACAAACCACTCAAGGGTTACTTAGAAGTGGAAAAGATAACTGAACTAATTATAAAGAATTACTATATTCTAAATCTTAGATAAAAAGTATATAATTATATTAGATAATACAAGACTTATATTAGAAATAAGCCTGTAAAATACTAACCTTATAAATAAATATAAGTACAGAAGGCGCCATAATAATCATAAAAATAGATAATAATTGATTTTATTAATTTATTACTGGAATTAGAAAGATTTAATACTATTACAGTTATTACTAATCATCTTACTAAATATATTTATCTTATATTGAATAAGATAATAATAATAGTAATATAAATAGTAGAACTGTTTCTAGAAAATATTGTTACATATTATAAGATACTAAAGTATATTATATTAAATCAAGATAAGTTATTTATCTTAAAGTTCTAAAGATCACTCGCAGATCTTATAAAAATTAAAGAATAAATAATAATGACTTACCATCTACAGATAAATAAGCAAACAGAAAGAGTTAATTAAATAATCAAGTAATATCTGAAGCATTATATAAATTATTAATAAAATAATTAGATAAATCTATTATTAATAATACAATTCTTATATAATAATACTAGTTACTTAACCATTAGAGTCTCACTGTTTTATATTAATTATAAATATTACTCAAGGTTTCTGAAAATATTACTAGAAAGACAGTAAGTTACTGATATAATTAAAGATATTATTATATTTACAGAAAACATATATTTACAGTTATTTTAAGATATTAAGTTTATGAATTTATATAGTAAGATATATTATGATTATAAATACAGAAAAGAACCTGATCTTAAAAGGAGGGAGAAAGTGTTCTTACTCTGTAAAAATATTAAAATAAAATAATTAAATCAGAAACTTGATTATTATAAACTAGGATTATTTGTCATCGAAGATAAGAAAAGACTAGTTAACTACAAGTTAAGATTGTTAAAATCAATAAACAGAATTTATTCAGTGTTTTATATCTCATTGTTGAAACCCGCACCAAAGAATGCTAGAATTATAGAAAATATAGAGATTAATAACAATACAGAAGAAAAATATAAAGTTAAAAAAATCCTAGACCACAAGAAGATTAGCAGCAGATCAAAATATCTAATAAAATAGGAGGAATATGATATCTCAGAAAACACATGGGAATCTATCGAGAATTTAACAGGCTGTTACTAGCTTGTGAAGCAGTACTATCAACAGACAGGTCAAAGTTCGCCCAGAATGAAGGGGAACCAACCAACTGAGTCAGACTAAGAGTGTCTGACACAGCAGCAAGTTGAGCAGCATCATATTTATTAGCCAGATGTTTTAGCTCTCGGAGATCCTCAGCGCTTGGAAGATCCTTCTTATCCAGCCGCTCCAATACAGTCAAGTCATGATCCAACATCCGCTCACCATGATCTTTTAGAAACTACTGTTACTTGAATAAGTAAGCCACTTTGGCAGTAATACAGGCCTGTTTAATAAGGACCTCAGCGAGTTTGTTTTGCATATCTAATTAATTATGTTTTAATTTATTCTATTCCTTATCACTGTAAAATTATTTTTCATATTTTTAATCACGACGAGTACAGGCAGCACAATTTCAGCTTTTTAAATCTATAATATAAGAAATGTTTCTCAGGAAACAATGTTCGCAGGAACTTTCAGTAATAAAACTATTATTATAAATCTTATTAAACTGATAAATATGTTTCTTTACCCGATCGCGATTAGCACAACGACGAGACATGATAGACTATCATAGAAAAAGAGAAATTAAGAAAACTCAACTGATACAGGAGAGACATGTATCTTTATGTTTCTTGAGAATAAGAAACCTTGAAGAAGAAGGAGTGATGTTATAGACCTCTACTAGCCAGGTTACTAGTAAAAGCAGACTTATCAGGCAGAAAGGTAACGACCAGAAAGGACTCGGGCAATCAGCAACTCTTATTAAGTAAGATCCTGGTTAGAATAACACCCGAGGTAATGCTGTGTTATATAACCATCTACTATCAGATCTATTATTAAGAATATACGATATGGTATACAGAATCCAGGAACATGATTAGATTGATCCTTGATCTATCCTGAATAGTATACAAAATGATATACGAAGAATAAGATATAAGGACACTCTTTTATATACTTAGCTAGTTCTATTCTCCGTGCTCAATTCACATTATCTTTAAGTAATCTACATTTTGGTAGAGCTTAGTAACAACACTCGTCTGCACTTACTTACGGATAGCTGCGCGGCACTATCTGGCCTTACTTCTCTTCTCTTGTTCAGATCAAGTCATCTTTAGATAGTCAACAACCTGACTATCTTTGATTCAGTTCACAAGGTACGTATCGGAACGGGAGCTAAGCTAACAGGAACAGGGAGAAGCGATCCTAGGGTTTGACAAGAAGAAAGTAATATAAAGATATAAAAAAAATAAAAGATTAATAAAGCCTTGAATGAGTAACAGAAAGGTAAAGTAAATATAGAGATATTATTTCTTATTTATAAAATATATTAATATTATATATCAAGAGATTTAAGATAGTTCATAATCTTAGTTTCTTAATAATTATAACACTTATACTATTATACAATTGTTATAAATTATATACAGTAATTATAATTAGTTAAAAACTGTATAAAATTATATATAATCATCTATTACTGTTCCGCAACCTTGCCACAACGGGTGCTATTAACCCCCTCGGGCCACTATGTATTTCAGGGCAAGGATTCCCCGTGATATATGTCGCGACAGCTTCCCGCTACATTACCAACCCACCTACCAACATTCTTTTATGAAGAAAACCCTATATTGACTGTGTTAGTCTCTATCCATATTAGCATTCATTCATCATCAAAAAAATCATTTCTGACCACTCTATTCCCATCTCCCTATGTTCCGGAAAGTTAAACCAACCATCGAACCCCAGTCACCCCCCCACCAATCCAGACAAGCAAAAGTCACGTGCCGAAGCCCAACCCACCAATCACCCCTCACCTCCCAGCCCAACCATCCCCACAATCCTGGATCCCAACCCAACCTAACCCAACTGAACCCAACCCAAATACAAATTTATCCATGATATCATCCCCATCCCATCCCACAACACACTACACACATACACCCCTACCCACACCCAAATCAACTCAACCCAACTAAACTCATCAAAACACCTCCACACAACCAACTTCACCCAAAACCAACCGTGAAAAAAAAAGCCATGCCCATCCCCACAACGAACATCGTAACACCGGGAACATCCGTGAACATCATCCTAAAAGCCGACCAACCTACGGGACGCACCGTGTCGGGGGTGATTTCCGAGGTGTTGACGAGGGGGAATCATCCGAGGGGGATTAAAGTCCGGTTGAGGGATGGGAGGGTCGGGAGGGTGCAGTCTCTTGTTTCTACTTCTTCTTCTTCTTCTTCTTATTCTTCGTTGGGGGATTCGACTGGGGGGTTGGGTGGTGGTGGTGATGGGGGGGATTTTACTGGTGGTGGTGGTGATGGGGGGGATTTTACTGGTGGTGGTGGTGGTAGGGGAGGATTAGGTGGAGGGGGATGAGAGGGAGAGGGAGGGGCAGAGGAAGGAGAGAAGGTAAAAGGGTGAGGTTTGTTGGGGATGAGGAGGGGGAGAGCAGGCCGGAGGAGAGGGTTGGGTTGGATGCGTATGTTGTTCCTGGGGTTGGGGGGAGGCAGCAGGGGGGGAGGAGAGGGGGGATGACATCTCAGAGTCAGAGGCAGAGTGACTTTGAGTATAGTATTGTGAAGTGTCCCGTTTGTGGGGAGTTTGAGGGCGATGAGGCTGCGGTGGCGCATCATGTGGCGGGGCATTTTGATTGAGGGTTTGATTTTTTATATGTTGGGTTTGTTATGGGTTTGGTTTGGATGGGATGTTGGTTTATGTGATGAGGCGGGCGTTTATGTGAGGGATGGGATATGATGAGGGTGATATTTGTGTTGGATGCTTGGTTGATGGATCTACGAGATATGAGAACATGTCTGGATGATCGTGGTGGAGGATTGTTTCCTCGGAACCATACCGCTTGACAACAAAAGGGATAAAAGGAAAGCATCAGTTGGCAAACACACTCAGCGCCTCCTCCAAATGCTGTTCCATGTCCAAATCCCAGATCCATCGCATCCGCTCATCCAAATTGGCCCGGATCTTCTCAACATCATCCTCCACCTCCTCTTTCTGACACTGGTACAGCCGTCCAGCATCCCGACTTGTACGCACCAGTCTCTGTGTCCGGGGCCGTCGAACGGCATCATATGCCGCGAATGCTCTCTCCAACTGGCCTTTCTCACGAACTTTCCCCAGCAGTCGCGACAGAATATACACGTCCTCCACCGCCATTCCTGCTCCGGCCCCTTGATGAGGCGTGCTCGCGTGAGCAGCATCCCCCATGATACAGATGCGACCCCCTCGGTGATAGCTCTTTGCAGGGGGATGGTCGAACATGGCCCAAATATCCGCATTTCGCATCAATGATAGAATAGCTTTGACATCTGGTCCCCATGCCTCAAAATCCTGCAACATCTGTTCCTTGTTCCCCGGTAGTACCCACTGTGACCCGTGTTCCCAAACACCATTCGGCTTCGTCCGAAAGGCCACCACATTCATCGTCTTGCCATGCTCGATCGGGAATGTCAGGAGATGCCCGTCGTACCCCCAGTGAAAATGGTTGTTGCGCGCAGTATATTCCCCCAGCGCCCCCACTGCTTCATCCATTGGGATCAGACCCCGATAGGCATATTTGCCAGTGAAAACAGCATTGGCTTCTTCCTCCCCGTCGAGCAGGATCTGCCGCACTCGAGATTTGATCCCATCGCAGCCTATAACCGCATCAGCAGTAACCGAAGTTCCGTCTGCAAAGTGTACTGTGACTCCGTCCTCCACATCGTCGATAGAAGTCAATCTCTTCCCGAAGCTCACGTATCCGGTCGGAAGTAGCGCCGTCATGGCCTCGAGGAATCGTGCCCGATGAACACTACTCCTCGCCACAGAGGCATGTACCTCGTGGATATAATCCCCTGCTTTGAGAGTGTTTGACCCGCGCCCGTCCATCCCCATGCGGTAACTGGACCAGAGTTTCTTCTCCAATGCGCCCGTGTCTGGCTGAAACGTGGCATGCTTGTTATAGGCAGCTGCCATGTCGCGATCGATCAGCTCCATGGCGCGGATGGAGTTTGAGCCAAAAGCGATGCCCGCGCCGATTTCGGAGAACTCGGGGGTGGCTTCGTAGAGATGGGGTGCGATGATTTCACGGGAGCTGTGTTTGAGCAGGGCCAGGAGGAGCGTCACGCCTGCGATGCCACCGCCGATGATGGCAATTCGAAGAGGGTTTTCATTGGTGGTACTGGCCATTTTGGCTGTCCGATTCTGTCGTCGGCAGGGGTAGAGCGAATCTTCGTATGTGAGATCCTGGGCGTGGTGACAGCCGCGAGACAGTTATCATGCGATGATGAGCGAGCTGGTGAGGGGCAATTGCCATCTGCACGCCGACCTTAGCGTGTTCGACTAGATCCTTTGGGGCTTGTCTGGACGAATCGCTGGGACGGGCGGCCTGAGCCGTTCCCCGCGGATGGCTAGAAGCTTATTCTCGGAGAAAATTCGAAAGGAGGCTGTCCAGGTTGCCCCTAAACCTACTACGTACTTGGTGTCACCGTCGGGACTTGTCCGAAGCTCGTTGTCAGCCTATCATGACCCGAAGGATGCTGACCATGCCTTGATTGCACCAGACGGCGCCAATTAGGGGTTACTCCCAGCTGTCCCTGTCTCGAACCCTTCGTTTCCTGATGTGCGACACTTACGTGAGAATTCCGCAGGTCAACTCATGGATCAAGAAAAAATTTTGGCCCGCTTCATCAGATGTTATTCGAATGATTGGTGGACTCCACGGTCTGGTCTATCTCGGTGATGATCTCAATATCCCCAGCCTGCTTGCGGATTAGGTCCGAGTGGCTGCTTCCCGCCCGCAGCCGTGTCCGCGTCGGTCCCGTCGAAACCCTGTTGGACACTTCGGACAGCTCGTACGGCCCTCGCACGTAGCTGGGGTACGACGATCCCTGGCCGATGCCGGTAAGGGATTTTCCGTCTCGCCGCGATCCCCTGCTCTTGACAAGTCGGACGATCGGCATTAGGCTAGGGAGACAGGACACCACCACCCCGAGGCTGCTTTCAATCGCGGTCCACAGATGGGAGTAGGTGTCGGACCCTACATCCACAGTCAGCATTCTGCAGAGAGGGAGGAGGGGAAGCGCACAGGTGATGTCAGAATTACTGATCGCGATTAGGTTCTCCAGACGGACAATTGAGATGGCACAGACACTGCAGAACGAATCAGTCAAGTTCTCTACGGACAGCGGAGGCGTACATAATGCCCAGAGTAAAGATCGCCGAAAGACCGACTTTTCGTCCCCATGGAATCTGAAGCTTCCACACCTGTCGTGTCGGTAGAATCAGAAGCAGAACATCGGTGCACAGGTTGGTCGCAGCTAATGTCGTGACAAACGGGACGAAAGCAATGCATTTGCCCTGGGTGGTCTTTTTCTGCCATTCGTGATGAATCGGAATGCATTGAAATATGGCAGTTGTTTGGAAGGCGATGTACCAGGCAGCCAGGAACAGCATGACAGACCGACAGGCAATGATCATCGATCGCACGGGAAAAATGCGCTGGTAGAAGAGGACGATGGAGAGCTTGATCACGGGAAGACAGGTATTCCAGAAAAGCTGCATCACATAAAGATTCTAAATGAAGCCAATCAGTTTGTTCCAACCTTCACGTCGTGGGGTGGGTACCAAAGAGTAGGCTTCGACAGTAGCGGTCGAGAGGGTGTCAACATGTTCGCCCACACCAGCATGGAGACCTTATACTCTGTCAGTGGTCGTTTTCAAGGCACAGGTGGAATGCTGTTACTTTGGAACAGGAGCGCATTAACACCAAGAGACAAGGCCTTGATCGATTAGTAAGGGCCGTACTATGGAAAGGGTACTCACCAAGGCAAAAATGCTCAGATAGTCCTCCACAAAGAGACCTAGACCCTGCAGTCTCCGGGCCCAGACCCGCAAAGACACCGCCGTGATCGAGAGCACAACCAGGATACTGTTGATGATGACAATTTGCAACTGTCGGGTGTTGTACGTGCCTGTCTGTGTAAGCCCCATGTTGGCAATTCGCAACGGTCAGATGTACCAATATAGCTGACACGGCGAGGTGCTGGTTTTGTAGTACTGTCACACAGCATAATCAGCCCGGACATCACCGGGCCTGGCCATGAGACCGTCGCACTAACGGGGAGCCGCTGGCTGCACGAGGGCGGATCACCCAGGTAGCCCTGCAGCCGGGCAGTCGGAGGATTTAGCATGTCCCACTCTAATATGAATCCCTCTCCTGGTCTGCTACATTTAGTAAGCTCAATACCCCTGGCCAACACCCTGGTCGGAGTTTTGCTTTTTGCTTCCTGACACGGTCGGTATCTACGCTGAAAGGAACTTACCCGGCCGGCCTTAAGATTTCGACATGGCAAACTCTCTAGCAACGCGGTCAACTGTCGATGAGGCCAAGGGCCATCTCGCAGTCAAATCAGTTGGTATCCAGAGAGATGGACAGCAAACACGCGACGGTATCGTCCTGATCCCTCAACCATCTCAGGATCCTGACGACCCACTTGTAAGTTGGGATCCCTGCATTCTAAATTGCTTCCACTGAGGGCAGCAGAATTGGGCAGAAGGACGAAAGCGAAGGAATCTGGCCATCCTCTGCCTGGCCGGATTTGCAGGGACAGCCTTGGATCTGGCTAATCAGTTGGCGATGAAAGACCAGGCCAAGACCTGGGACAAAGCCCTCATCGAGATCACATACACCATCTCTGCCTCCATCGCCGGTATTGCCTATGGACCCTTATTGATTAATCCTCTGGCGCAGGCCTTTGGCCGCAGTGCCGTCATCTTTTGGTGTCTGCTGTTCGCCATGGCCTGTGCCATTTGGTCGGCTTGCATGACTGGGAAAGGCGACTATGAGCGCTTCGTTGCGTCTCGTCTCTTTGATGGGATTTTTGGCTCCATTCCATCCATTGTGGGAGTTGGCGGCGTATACGACATGTTCTTCTTGCACGAGCGCGGCAAAGCATACGCCATCTTTCATGTCTCCTTCTTGTTCGGTACTGTGGCTGGCCCAACCTTTGGAGGGTTCATTGTCGACCATACACGCTGGCCGTGGGTGTTCTGGTGGATTGTCATTGCGCAGGGATTGGTTCTCATTCTTGGTAGGTATTCTGCGACCGATTACAACTGAATCAGTCTGATGGATCAGCCTTTCTTTTCCTGGAGGATACCAGTTATCCTCGTGACGGGCACACCCCCGTAGCGAAGCCCAGGACCTTCTGGGCAAATCGCATGGCGACCCTGCTGCCCCATAAGACTGGCATCAGCCGTGCGGAATTGGTAAGATTCATTCCTGTTATTCTGTCCACACTAACCAAGCTCAGGGTCGTATCGCTTGTTTGCCGTTGCGCATTGGTCTTTCGCCCGTGGGTCTTCTGATTGGTGTTTTCCAATTGGCATCCTTTGGCTGGTTCGTCGCAACCCACAGTCTTTTGACCGTCTGGCTGGAAAAGCCCGTCACCATTGGAGGATGGGGATTCACTCCTCAAAGAAATGCTCTCTGTATGTTGCTCTTCTCACTTGAGACATCGCTAATCTAGTCAGTCATCTTCGCCCTCTGGGTTGGTCTCCTCACAGCCGAACTCTGGGGCTACCTCTGCAACGATCGCATCGCGCTGTGGGTGTGTCGCGCCTGGGGAAAGGGGGTATGGAAGCCGGAATGCCGGCTGCACGCCCTCTGGATCCCCTCTCTGATCATCCTCCCCATTGGTCTGGGTATCGTTGGCTCCGCTCTGCAGTACCATCTGCACTACATGGTGCTCGCGCTGGGTGCCTACCTGATTACGTTTGCCTCGATGAGCTCCGTCCCGGTTGCCGTGACGTACATGATTGAGTGTGTTGCCTCGCAACCCACCGAGGTGGGGGTGTTCATGGGCGCGTATCGTCTCACGCTGGGTCTCGCCATCCCCTTCTTCATTGACCAATGGGTTGCGCGCGTGGGGTTTGGGTGGGTGTATGGCATGATGGCGTTTTTCTCCATCTTCGCATTTGGATTTGTGATCGCGTTGATGCTATTTGGGGACAGACTGCGACAGCGCACTCTGGGGCGGTTGGCTGCAAGTGAGATTGGTGCCAAGATGATCTATGCAAGTGAGGAGGACTGCTGAGAGTCCCGCTTACTACTCGCTAATCCCCCGAAAATTCGGTGGCATCATGTGATCTAGTCACGCCTTCCCTCTTCCTCTTCCCTCCTCTTCCCATCTTCTAGAGATAATCTGCTACGGCCATAATGGCCAGCTCAATCACATCGTCGGTCAATGTCTACAGTTTTACACCCACATCACGCTCGGTCGCGTCTTCTACAATATGGATATGTGAATTTCCCGCCGGTCCTTTCATACTCAAGTCAGGTTTCGCTCCAGTGGCCCAAACCCACGAATGGGTTAGATATTAATCAAACCTCGTTGGAATTATCAAGGAAACATTCTCTTGACCCAGTCCGTTCTAACCCCCGGCCTGGTCAGGTCAAAGCCTAACCCAGTCCTCACCGAGTGTCCCCGAGCTATCTCCCGATCACCCTGCGCCCGCCGAGTTTATTTCCCCTCAGCATGATTATCACATGATACCCACCAGGATCGAGTGGAATGACAAGGATTTCGCGCACTGTGAACCGCCAGATCATTCGCTGGTTTGTGGCCCGGAAGGCAGTTCCCCTCTATAGTGGAGATCAGCAAGGTCGATGTTTTCAGCGACTTTCTGGTTGAAATCTCCAGCGTCACCCTCATCAAATCCCTTAAATGCGCCATGGCTCGCACTTTTCACCGCCATATTCCTTTGGAGTAGACAATTAGATCAGCAATATGGATCACATTCGAGAAACCTTTACTGATAGCAAAAGAAAGGGTCGCCCAGTGTTAGTGACTTTTGTCACTGCTGGCTTTCCCACACCAGAGGAAACCCCAGATATCATGCTTGGGCTCCAGGCGGGCGGTGCAGGTTTGCATCTCGATCCATACGGGTTGATTCTGCTGATCAGATTATGCAGATATCATCGAGCTTGGCTTACCATTCACTGATGCCGTCGCCGATGGTACTCTTGTCCAACAGGCTTCAATGACGGCGATCAAGAACGGGGTCACAGTTCATTCTATATCCCTCATGGTCCAGGAAGCGCGAAATAGGGGGCTGCATATTCCAATTCTATTTATGGGCTATTATAACCCGATCTATCACTACGGCGAGGCGAACTTTGTAGCCGATTGCAGCAAGGCAGGTGTTGATGGCTTCATCGTCGTTGACCTGCCTGTTGAGGACGCAGTGCGATTTCGTAATCTTTGCGTTGGTGCAGGGTGGGTTACCCCCTTCCCAATATATGCTGAGACATGGCGAAATGGTGCTAACCGAGGTTTGCAGTTGTTCCTATATTCCTATTATTGCGCCATGCACCCCAGATGACCGGATCAAATTGTTATGCTGCATGGCAGACTCATTTGTCTATCTCGTTTCTCGCATGGGCGTCACCGGCATGAGAGGTGAATTGGACACACAGTTGCCCGGGATGATTAGAAAGGTGAAGAAGTTGGGTGGAAATCCCCGGGTTGCCGTCGGATTCGGCATAGAGAGTCGCGATCAGTTCCTGAAAATCACATCTGTTGCTGACGGCGCGATCATTGGAAGTTGTTTGCTCAATGACCTCGCCCGTGCACCCTCAGGAAAGAGGCCGGAGGCAGCGAGAAAGTTCTGTCTGAGAATGAGAGGGATTAGGGATCACGCTGACGGCTCCATGGGCCTAGGGCAGAATCCTAGGTCTCCACCGGACCAGACAACACTACATTTTGTAGGTCCCAAGAAACACACTGTCACAAAACGAGATATTCCCGGACCCTACGGCGGACAATACGTCCCAGAAGCAATGGTGAAATGTCTTTCGGACTTAGAGAGTAGCTTCAGAGCTGCGGTAAAGGATCCACAGTTCTGGAAGGAATATGAGTCGTATTACTCGTACGTGGGACGTCCTTCAGGTCTGCATAAAGCTTCCCGTCTCAGTGCCTTTGCGGGAGGGGCCACCATCTGGCTGAAACGGGAAGACCTCAACCACACCGGGTCACACAACATCAACAATGCACTCGGACAGGTCCTCCTAGCTCGTCGGTTAGGAAAGAAAAACATTATCGCGGAGACTGGAGTTGGATACCATGGCCTTGCGACAGCTGCGGTATGTGCCAAGTTGGATATGAATTGTACCATTTATATGGGCCTCCATGATATGCAGCACGAACCAGAGAATGTATTCATGATGCGGGCAATGGGTGCAACGGTCCTCCCAGTCCGATCTGGAGCAGGGAGTATGTGTGATGCCATTGATGAAGCCTTTCGAGCCTGCATTGCAGACATCAACAACAACTATTACGTGATCGGGTCCGCTGTTGGCCCACACCCTCTTCCGGCTATAGTCAGGACCTTCCAGTCTGCGATTGGCAAGGAGACCAAGGCCCAGTTTCGAGAACAAACCGGCAAACTACCCGATGCGATCGTGGCATGTGTCGGTGGAGGATCGAATGCCGTTGGCATGTTCCATCCTTTCGTCGGGGACAAATCTGTCCGACTGATTGGCGTTGAACGAGAGGCAGAAGCTGCATCTTTAGGTGGTGGTTCTGTCGGGGTTCTTCACGGAAGCAAAACCTACATTCTCCAAGATGAAGACGGCCAAATCCGCAAGCCACAGTCCATCTTTATGGGAATGAACTATCCCGGAGTAGGCCCGGAACTTGCAAGCTGGAAAGACTCGGGCCGTGCCACCTTTTTTAGTGCCACAGGGTCTCAAGTGTTGGAAGGGTTCCGGCGAATGGGCGAGTTGGAGGGGATCGTTCCCGCGCTGGAATCCTCGCATGCGATTTGGGGTGCTATACAAGTGGCTAAGGAGATGGGACCAAAGAAGAATGTGGTTCTCTGCGTCAGTGGACGGGGGGATAAACAGGTGCAGACGGTTGCCGAGGAACTACTGCTGCTTGGGCCAGATCTTGGATGGGAACTACCCGGGCGAGTGCCACTCCAGGATGGCACCTGGGCGTCTTCGTTCCAGGCAGTTGATTCGGATCTGTTGCAGATTTAATCACATGCATACGTTTGATGCTTTGCTCTTTTGCATGTATCTAGTATTTGACTAGTATCTTAGGGGCATTCAGGAGTTCTCCTTCACAATGAGAAGCGCATGTCCAGGCAGCGGTGGGTGAGTTGTGACAAGTACATGTTGACCATATTCGAGGGGCATTATATGTTAGCAATTCTATCTCACTCAATATTTGAGTCCCTGTCACACCTTTTACTCTCTTTTCCTTACCACTGTATCCCCCTTGAGATGTCAGATAGCTATAATGCAGAAAAGAATTCCTCCCGAGCTCGGAAATGTCGTTCTCTATGGACTTGATCCTTTCTCTCGAGCTTACTAATACTCAATCAAAACTATTACATCTCCCTTACGCTCACAGAACTACCGTACGATCGATTTCAACAAAGTCAGGATATACATCTGGTATACATCCCCCCGTAACTCAGTGGCAGAGTGCCCCACTTATTCTTAGGAGTATTCTTAGGGGAGGGCCGCGGTTCGAGTCCGCGCGGGGGGAATCTTTCTGTTCTTTTTTCACGCTCTCAGACAGCCTGGGCATACGTAAATAAGATGGCATGTTGGATATCGATGAGGGAGTCATGGTATAGATCGTGGGGTCACGTGAGGATTGTGCATAATGACTGTTAGTTACGTAGGCAACCTTATGTATGTTGGATAAGGTTATGCAATGGTTGGCCCCGGGTCTTTCTTCTTCCGGGCCGTTCTCGTCGTGAGGATTGTTGTGTTTCATCGACCCGACAGTGTCTTCCTTTCTACCAGTGGAGTTAGTGTCAAGCATTCAGGTGTTTCGTATAGCTTCCTAGTTTGCTTCGCAAGACTTGAATGCTTACAGGCTTGTGCTCTTATTCAAAATTCTTCCAGATCCGCCACGCAACCATCGACAAAGATCGCAAATATATACCACCTCGACAGTGACCATGAGGACCACTTTTTTCGAAAGATTGGTTCCTCAACGGCGACCCTACAGTCCTTTCAACATGGCCACACAAATTGAAGCTATCATGAGCTACTTTGAGATTTTCGGTGGTCCAGGTTCCTCATGGGGCTTCGGAGCGACAGCTACAAACCGTGGATTTGTCCGGTTCCACGAAATGCTGCAATGACCACCTCGGAGTCTGCTGCTGCAAATCACCCGATAGTTACCCGAAATAGCGCAATGCTCCATTCAAACCACGGGACTGTCCTTCACATTGAACCGTGCAGCTGGAACACCTTGTGAACAGACTTCATGTTATGCCGTGTTTTGCTATTTATGGTCGGGAGACCGGTCTAGTCAAGCAAGGCCCAAGTGTTCCATGGTTCGGCGGACCCCTGAAGTCCAACTTCGCGGCTATCTGTTCGGCGATCCGCGCTTGAACCAGGAGCACCAAACAGACATGAAACTGTACCCGGAACAACTCTCCCCACCACATTTTTATCGGTTCCCGTGTTTGGGCCATCTGGCGACTGTGCAATTGCACAATGCCTCAATCCGCAACTTCGATCGCAACAGAATTGCTTCAGTGGAAGACCGGCAGAGATGCATTCAACCTACTTATACACGGATTCTGGGTTCGTCGATTGTACAGCCTTGGTTTATGTTATAGCTGCACTCGGAAGAACTCCGTCGGAGAGTTCATCTCGGGGATCGACACGCTTTGAAACCTTCCGGCGGCTTGATCCGGTAACCACGTTCTCAAGCTGTTCTCCGGTCAGCCTTGAAAACAAAACAGCGTTAAATCTTCAAAAAGATTCCGTCCTATATAAGAATCCATGGGTCCCTTCCACGCGTGGAAATTCGTTCCCATCTCACCGCACTGTGCAAGCAATCCGAAAGGATTAGGGCAGGACCCATGGCATCAGCATCATACAATGCTGGCCCTTACATTCTGGCTATCAACTGGATCGTGGCGGGCGCTGCGGTCCTTATCTTCCTGTTGAGACTCATTGCCAAGCGCCGGGTGCGCAATGTGTCCTGGGATGATGCAGCCATGTTATTCGCTTTGGTCCGTACCCTCTTCCTAGTAGAAATTATCAGCTGACGGTGTTAGATGCTCGGCCTGGCGTCGTCCGTCTTGATCACCCTGGCAATCTTACACGGCTACGGAAAACATGTGAAAGATATTGAACCTTCAGATCGAAGCGTAGCCATGAAGCTCTACACAATATTTCAGTGTGTCTCAATTCTCAGCACAGGAACGGGGAGGGTTGCTTTCGTTCTATACTTGTTGCCGATCTTCCAACAACAGTATCTCACACGCCATCTCCTGTGGTTCATCCTTGCGCTCCAGACGGTTACCAATTATGTCAGTCCAGTGACTATTTTGGCCCAATGCAAGGACATCCATGTTCTTTGGGACCCTACCGTCATGACCCAATGCTGGGATCCAAAAATTTCGATTGCGTACAGCTATGTACAATGCAGTAAGCCCCTCCCAACAGGGATGCGTGAAATGAGACTAACTATTAACGTATCTAGGTATAAACACCGCTACCGACCTCTACCTGGCGACATTCCCAGTGTATACCTTTTTGAGGCTAAACATTAAACGACGCACCAAGGGAATACTTATCATTCTAATGAGCCTTGGACTAGTGTAAGTAATCCCGACCACCAAGCATACGAGATGCTGACCCCTCTCAGCGCTATGGTAGCCTCAATCATGCGTGCCCTCTACCTCCCCTCCCTCTCCAAAATCGGCGACCGAACAGCAGCAACCAACCGACTGACAATCTGGGCTCTGCTAGAATGCTACCTCGTCATCATCACCGCCTCAATCCCCTGCATCCGGTCCCTAGTCGTGGATTCCGTTCGACATATCATCAGTAGTGGCCGGTCTACTTCTGTACGCGATCCCGATAGTACTCCCAAACACAGCAGGCAAAACACCTGGGGTGATTCTACCTCATGGAACTATCCCGTTGGTGATGATGTCGAAGGAAGAAGACATATACTTAGTGAAGTCGAATTAGGCCGTTTAGGTCGTGCCCGTGCAGATAGTGGCCGTGTTGAGTATGGACACGTTGGTTACGGCCGCGTTGATTACTGTCGTGTTGATCGCAACCGTTTCAACTCTACCCGCATATCCAAATTAATGGAGGTGTCGGTCGCCGCGGAAGCAATCCCTAAGTGGATTTAATCTAATGTATATAATAAAAGCTCTTGTTGTCTTTGACTCAACCCATGTCCTCATAATGACATAACTAGATGAATCCATCCCGATGATGCCATACAGAGTGAAGTTGTGCCTTCGAAAAACACCTCGCATCTATTTCACAACACCCTGAGATCTATCCTGCCATTTTCATCCAATTAGAGAACATCTGGCTTGGGGCCTGCCCTTTGGCCTAAGTGGGTACTAATTCAGAGATATACCTTCCTCCCCCCCTACCATTTCCTCCATATACATCCCAAGTTTATCCGCTCAAGAAATCAGATCAAGCATTATAGTACCCTCTTTGCTCATCCTCCGCATGATCCTCTACCAGGCAAATTAGTAACCTACTAAAGCAGGCAGGCAAGCAACAATATGTATCCCATCTATTAAATTCCATACTATATACAACCACCTCACCCCATCCCACCCCAAAACCCAACACCAACACTAGTAGTTCCTCCGCCAAAAGAAAAAAAAAACAAATCAATCCAACTGCCCATCATCTTCCTCCCCCATCCCCACCCCAACCCCCAATCCAATCCCCACCTCCCCAGCAACAACAACATCCATAACCGGCCCATTATAAATCCATCTTCCCCTCACAAAATACCACCCCAACCCAAGCAAAAGCTCACCCACAAACACCACAGCCGACCAATTCATATTCGTCGGCGTGACGGGTAAATCCGACGGAAAGAACGAGAAGAATATCGTAATAGTGAGGAAGATAATCGACCCCATGTTGATGGTCATTCCCAGCAGACGGCCCATTTTCCATGGTCCGTAGGGGATGGCTTCGTTTTTGATCTTCTTGATTAGGATGAGCACGATGGCGATTTCGTATGAGGAGAAGAGACCTGCGGTCGTGAGGGAGATCATGGCGTTGAAGGCGGCGCTGGAGCCGATGTTGATGATGCATGTGCAGGCGGTTATTATGGCGCAGAGGGCGATGGCGCGGAGGGGGAGCGCGGAGCCGGAGGTTGCGGTGCTGATCTGTTGATGGTTTAGTTTGTTGGTTTGTGGAGGGGATGGGGATGGGGATGGGGGGGGGGGGGGGGGGGTACGTGGGAGAGGAAGTCGGCAAAGGGGATGCCCTTGTCTTTTGCAAGGGCCCAGGTCAGACGGGAGGAAGAGGCTAGGAAGCCGAATGAGGCGCACACAGTCAGGGCGATGACGATGGAGGTCATGACTGAGGTTCCGGCGTGGGATTTGGTGGCGTTGAAGAATACTTCGATGAAGTCGTAGCCTGTCTTGCTGTCGAGGGCGGCGTCGAGATCACCGACGCAGAAGAGGAAGGCTAGGACCATGGCGAAACCGAGACAGCCGTTTAGCATGATGGTCGCGAGCATGCACCAGGGCACGATGACGGAGGCGTTGACGACTTCTTCGGCTGTGGGGGGTTAGTTGGTATCACTAGAGGGTGGATGGTATATCCTGCTTACCCATGTGGCAGGGGCCGTCGTAACCTGAGGATGTTGGGTTAGTTAGGGTTACCGTTAGAGGACGGGTGGCATACCGATGAAAGGAAGGTTTGTGCCCATTAGCCCGATGAGCCAGGTGAGGCCGGCACTTTTCCATCCCGAGGTATTTGTGAATGTGGCAAACACGAACTCGGCGTTATGGTGGGGAGCAAGGTAGACGAGGGGGATGAGGATGGCCAGGAATCCGGCCGTGTGGAGGATGAGGATCAGTCCTTCAAGTTTGGGCAGAATCCTGGCTCCGAAAGAGTTGACCAGCACGCAAATCACCAGTGCTGCAAACATGATGAGGGTTCCATGCCAGCGGTGGAAATCGTAGCCATCGTAGTTCAGCACCAGAAGACCCTGCAGGACTGTGGAGGCGAAGTAGACACCAGACGCCGTGTTGGCCCACCATCCGATCAGGTCCAGCCATCCGGTGACCCAGCTGAGAAAGACGGCTTGGCCCTTTGGTGCGAGCATGGAAACCCAGTGGTATTGACCAGCGGATGTGGGAGCCCTGTGTCTGCTTAGTGATGGCTCTTATGCAAAATGCGGATCACGTACATCGACGCCATCTCGGCTAGCGAGGCGGCGGTCAAGAGAGCACCAATCCAGCAGAAGATGAAACCGTAGACAAGGGTCGCCTGTCCTCCATCAGCCATTGCGGCCGGGTTGGCTCTGCGTATGGTCAGTTCGAACCGGAGACAGAATCAGCGCTGACGTACGTAAGAACGGCCTCCCAGGTAGCCATCATGGTGGTCGTAAAGCCCAGCATGGACAGGAAACCCCAGTTTCTCTGCTTTCGTTAGTCATAAAAGCTGCTGGGTTCACGCCAAACTCACCTCGAAGGTCTGCTTCCTGCCATACTTGGCCATGTCCGCATCATCGCGATCCTTGTATCCTTGGGGGCCCAGCTCCTGGACTGCCAGCTCTCCATTTTTGAAAGCCATGTTGGCGTTTGTTAGGATCAAGACGACAAAGGAAAGTCCTCGGGAAACAAACACCAAGAGAGATATAAAGAAAAAAGGAAAAGTTGAAGATAGTGAGGGGAAGGACTGTATTCAAGGCTCGAGCAACGGAGGGGAACTAGCAGCTACTGCAGGTTTGCTAGAAATTCGCCGGGGTTATTCCCGGACGCGAAGATACGGGGATACCCCGATCAGGAAGGTCATTTCTTGCCTGACTAGCATCCGGCCAGTCTAGTTATGAAATTGGACTATGCCTGGTGCCCCTGAATCGGGCATATCTGTGCTAAGTTGGAGCAGCAGGAAATTAACCAGCTGCCGGTGCATGAGCCGGATTCGGCTGCATAACAGCTGGCAAACGAGCCGAGAGATTGCATCTGCAAGTCCTCGCGACATGGTGCTACCTGCAGCACAGCGTACGCTACTGCAGTCTCCCCTTTTAGGTTCTCTCTAAATGCATTAGGTTGGACAGGGGTGAGCTGAGGTAGTCAAGATATCGGCATGATCCGGCTTGCATGGAATTGCCCGAGGTGCTAGATCACGGTCTGCGACTGAGGATCCCTGCCAATTTGTTTGGGGTTGATTCTGACTTCCATGCGAGGACCTCAGAATAGGTACTAGGAGGACCTTGTCAGCACTAAGACATAGTGCGGTCGACGAATACTTAGTGTAGTCGGTCTGGCCAACGCCATGGCTTGCCCTTAGCTCCAGCCTAGCGTCGGCCTATCCAGATCCCTGTATAGCTGCAAGACGGCGCATCTCCCGCATGACTTACGACGGATATTGGGTCAGGCGAAGCCTTGCTTCAGCGGGGCAGCTGTCTGCGAGAGATACAAGGCCCTGGATGTATTTAGGGCATTTGCCCATGCGCCGGAAAATTCACAGGCGACAATCAAGCCACGCCCCTTCGCATTAAACCTGCGTCCAGTCCTCTCAGCCCGTTTCAAGGTCGAAACGGTCTCAGTCCTTGGGTTACTTTCCCATCCTGGTTGTAGACATCAACATGGGTTCCACCATTGATTGGTCGCGGCGGCCCACCTACTCGCCAGAGCAGCTCAGACGCTACTTCGATCGCATTGGTCTCCCTCATAAGTATCGGGAATCGCCGGTGATCCAGGAAGGGGCTACTATCGATGGCCAGACAGCGTTGAATTTCCTGAAAGTCCTGCAACGGTACCAGGTGGCAGGTGTCCCATTCGAAAATCTCAACCTTCATTACTCGGCTCACCGGGGCATCTCCATTGACCCGCAAAGCCTATTCGAGAAGATTGTGGACTCTAATTCCGAACGAGGGGGCTACTGCATGGAGAATAGCGGACTCTTTGGGACCGTCTTGAGGAGCTTAGGGTACAAGGTGACTGCGGTTGGGGGGCGCGTCAACGAAGCCTCCCAGCCCATATCGGCGTCGAAGAATTGGAAAGGGCCCAAGTACGACGGATGGTACGATCACCTAGTTCCTGTGCTTCTCCATTCACTTTCCGCCGGTCGCATGGAATATATGCCGTTGGATCTAGCTGCTTCCTTGCTGACTAGCCGCATAACAGGAACCACATGGTCAATCTCATCACCATTGGCGAGCAAAAGTACCTCATAGACGTTGGATTTGGCTCGAACGGGCCACACCAGCCCGTGCCACTCATCCAGGGCTACGAGTTCCATAATGTAGGCGAGCAATCCGGCCGGCTGGTGTATGGGCCCATCTCCCAACACACCAGCAAGGGCCAATCCATCTGGCAGTATGAGATCCGCAATGGCGACGGAGCATGGACTCCGGCTTATTGCTTCACCGAGATGGAGTTTCTCCCCGAGGATTTCACCATCATCAATTACTACATGAGCACCAGCCGGGAGAGCTTCTTCACTTTCAACGTTTTGTGTGTGCGGATGTTGCTCGACGAGGAGGGGGAGAAGCTCGTGGGCGACCTGACCTTATTCAACGATACGCTGAAACGGCGCTTGGGAGCGACATCCGAGGTTCTCGAGAAATTCACGGCCGAAGAGGAGCGGGTACTGGCGTTGGAAAAGCTTTTCAAGATCCGCCTCTCAGGGGCAGACAGAGGAGGGATTCGCCGTACGATCTCGGAGATCCTCTAAAATTGACTGGACGGGGAAAGGGGAAAGAAATCCGAACGGAGACCGCTGGAGGAATCGCAACGCACTGATAAGGAGTTATTAGCATGTGAATCAAATCAAGGATCCTGTCTTTTTGATTGGCGGCGGAAATATTCGATAACGGGGTTTAATCAAGCGCGTTCCAGCCGTTCATTTCAAGGTCCGGACCGGCGGGGAACGGTGTTGCACCCGCGTTGCAAGTGGCCATTCATAGGGCTTGTATCGGCCGTCTGACGTGGCGCGGGATGAACCCTGTCGCGCCCAAGGATTCTTAGCTGTCTTAGCGGTCTTGGCTTTCTTAGCATTCTTAGCTCGCTTGGCTTTGCTAGCTCATCCTTGGCTCCCCTCGATTTTGAACAAAATGACTCCCTATGACTCGGCGATGATCGGTGATGAGCCATCCCGTGCCAGTGACTCTTATCAAAATGGCCATTGATTGCAAGCCTCACAAGCCACAGGTGGTCCAATGTAATTTTCGCCAACGACCTTTCCAAGGAGAGCTAAGATGACCTCTAGCTTCGCTCCTTCCATTTTGCGCCAAGGATCCAAAGATTGACCCACACGGAGCTGGTTCCGATCTAGATTTCGCCCTAAGCTGCGCCGTGTGCCCACTTGTGCCCACTTGTGCCCACCTGGCTATTTCCTCTCCCACGGAGACAACATGAATTGTTTAGATCTTTGCTGCACTACGAGGTTTGCTCTCAGTGACGATTGAATCCGTGCAGCATGCGCACCGACAAAAAAGGTAGCTTTGCATACTACACAGCATCATGCCCGGCAATGATCGGGATGGTATCGAGTGGAACATGAACGACTTCAGGGGTCGTTGATGGGATCTTACCATGAATCCTTCCATCGATCGTCGATGCTGGAGGATCGCTTATGTCAAATTTGGCTTGTTCGTTAGAATCACTCTGTGAAACCTGGTCAGTGGCAGGCATAGTCCGCTGGCCAATCCTCCAGGAACCAGTGGAAATCGATTAGGCTGCAGCCATGTAAGTTCAGTCTTGTATTATCTGCTGCGCCGACAACATCCGCCGAAATTTTCCCGGGGCATCGTCGCAGCTGACTGCCGGCCTCGTCTATACCAAATTAACTTTAAAATCTCACCCGCCAGGCTAAGCAGGGGTCATAATCCCTGTCACCAGAGGGTATACCCCTGGTATCCCATTTGCAGCTGTCCTCAGTGCAGTTGGCTATTCATCAGGAATCTGCCCTGACATTCTGGAATATACGATCATGATTGCAGCCTCCCCTGAACGGCCACGTGCTATTGCTCGGAAATGAGATAACCGGGAGATAGTTGGAGGCGCCGACTGGAATTGACAGCAAGCCCTGCACCACCCGCATAGTGTGCATACCATCTTCTCCCCGGCATAGGGCGCTCTCTATCGCCAAACCACCATTGACACACCGGCCTCCACCTCCCATCTTTCTTCCATGCGTGATCCTCTTACCAGTTCTCATCATGGATCTGCCTCTACGGGTCTCTGACCTCTTTCACACCCTTCATACGCGGACGATCGACATACGTGCCAGCTATCCAGCCTCGCAGCCTCGGCCAGGCCATGTGGATGAAATCGCCATAGCGACCTTGTACCTGATGGTGATGATGATACTGGCCGTGTTGATACGACTCGCCTTTCGCCTATACATGCTCCGCTCGCTGCACTGGGATGATGGTATTTGTTCTCTATCCCTGGTATACCTTCTTGCCGCCTCCATGAAATGTGCATCCCGTTGATACATTAACACAAGTTTAAGGATGCAGGTCTTCGCCGTTGCGCAATGTATATCCATTCTTGTTGGGACTAGGCACGGTCTGGGAAAACGACAATCAGCTTTGAGCGACAAACAAACACACATACTGGAAAGGGTGGGTTCATCAAGGTCGATCATCTGCATTCGCTGATGTCATAATACTCCAGGCTCTTTACGCGGCAGATCTGTTCTACGTCCTGGCTCTAAGTCTCGCCAAAGTTTCAGTCCTGCACCTCTTAAACAAGCTGACTGTCAACAAATGGCACAAAAAAATAACCTGCTGGTCATCGATGCTAGTTGGCATCTGGACGGTGCCAGTGTTTTTTGCTCTGGCATTCAAATGCGGGGTGCCTAGGCCATGGGATACCACCAATCGGCATTGCATCGACATGGTGAGTTGCCTCATCTATCAATCCCTATCACCACAGGAAACCATGCACCATCAGCTAACACATTTACCATAGTTCATCTTCTGGGCCGCCATCTCCCCCGTTGACATCATCACCGACTTGGTAATTTGCATCCTACCAATCTACATCGTGAAGCCCGTCCAAGTTGTCGTCGGAAAGAAAGCCACCGTCGTGGTCGCATTCTGCATCCGTATCTTGTACGTCAACCCCACTCTCTTCGTCTCAACCCTACTCACATCTCCCAGCGTAGTAATCACCACCATCATCCGCCTCGTCTACATTCGTCACGCCCCTCCATCCCCCGATGTAACCAACGCCGCCTTCGCCACCATCATCACAACCGAATGCGTCCTCTGCGTCAGTCTCATGACCGCCTGCATTCCATGCCTGAAGCCCTTCCTCGACGCCTTTGACAGCGGCATGCTCAATATCTCACTACACAAGCGCATCGGCGGAGGTAGCAACAGTAACTCCTACGGCAACACATACGCATTGACAAGTATGTCCAAGGGTGTCAAGGAGTCCGCCACCCGGTCACGGTTTATGGAGGATGAGATAGAGGGATTGGGTAGTTCGGCAGCTGCATTTGCCGTAACGGCACCTGGGGAGCCATTAAATAATAGGAACTCTGCGATGGCCATCCAGAGGACGGATCAGTGGAGTGTTAGATGTGAATATGTTGATCCCAAGGCGGGGTCGATTGATGAGGCGGAGGGGTCGGAGCTGAGTGTGGGGAGGGGGGATCATTCTTTGGGGTGATCATTCTGTTGGGATAGAAGTTATGTAGATTATGACTAATTTCATTTGTTGGATTTCGATAATAGATATAATCCTGTCTGTAGATTGGAGTATACCCTAATATCGATTGATCCGTTTGATGGTTCAAGACTATATTAGGGCATTGCTACCCTACCAGGATCAAGAATTCCAAACGACATCAACTTGGAAAAAGTCATCATCATTGAACGAAAAGCATTATCTCTATACATCATATCCAAACCCTATTTCATAACCTCCTTCATAAAAACAACATCAACCCCACCACCAGATCCTCCTTGCTCAATCCCCACCTCCTCCCCCACCTCCACCACCCTTAACGATTCCGCCCACTGAACCGACCTCCACGCCGGAATCCTCAACTCAAAAAGCATATCCACCTACAAAGTACAAACCAAGTCAGACCACACTTCAATACCAATATAGGGATGGATAAAACTCACCTCCTCCACCGAAAGCCCCGACAACTCAGGCACATAGAGAAACGCCCAAACCAACGAAACAACCACCATCCCAAACCACAAATAACACACCTTGATACTTAGATCCGCGGCCGTAGCGTCAACGAGATACGGTGTCACGAAGGCAATCAGCCAGGTGGAAATCCAGTAGATTATCATGGTGATGGTTGATTGGTGGAGTCGGAGACGTTGCGAGTAGGGTTCTGTCATTGTTACCCAGCCTGGGAGGTTATTAGATGTGGATCCGGGGGAGGGTGTGGGGATGGGGATTTGGGTTTGTAACGGCATACCTATCGTCCCCCAAGTCGTAGCATAAGCGGCGATGAAAATCACAGCTCCAGCAACCAAGGCGTTATGATCTGAGCGACTCCCCGGAGCGACGGAATGGATTATAGCGGGGATAAGTTGGGCGATGGCCATTACTGATCCTCCCCAGAGGAGACATGTTCGTCGACCGAGTCGTTCGACTAGGTATGCGGATGGAGCGGTGAAGATGGCATTAACGAGGGCGAGGATTAGGGATATCATGTATGAATTGCCGATTCCTGCCTCCATGAAGAATGTGGTTCCGTAGCCGAACCAGAAGGTGATTCCGGTGGCGATTGTTAGAATGGCCATGCCGATTCCGAGTAATTGGCGACGGAGGTTAGGGCCTTGGAAGCATTCGAGTAGGTGGACGGTTCCGTGGGATTTTTGTTCATTGAGCCAGTGGGTGATTTCTTCGATGGATGAGGAGAGGTCTGATGAGTCGATGGGGATGTTTTGCAGGATGGAGAGGGATTGCCGGGCCTTGTTGGGGTTGTTTCGTTTCATGAGGAGGACAGGGGATTCCGGGGCTAGGATCGCGCCGAGGAATACGTTCAGGGCGAGGAGGAGTTGGAATGCGATTGTTATGCCTTTGTTGGTTAGGGTTGGTGGTGCTGGTGGGGGTGGGGTACTTACGCCAGCTTTCTGCGCCTTTGAAATGGTTCGTACCGTAACTGATTCCGCAGGCGAGGACGTTTCCTGAAGTCAGGAGGAGTGCGTATAAGGCTACTAGGCGGCCTCGTGTGCTGGAACTTGAACATTCGACTAGGTACATTGGGGACTATGTCATATTCCGAGGTTAGTTGTTTCTGGGGATGATTACGGGGATTCGTGTGGACTCACCACCACAGATATGATTCCTAGTCCTATACCCAGTAGTATACGACCGACGACAAAGGCACCGACTGGTACACCGGCAGCTTGAATACACACTCCAGTTGCATAGGCGATGGCAGCTACAAGGAGACTGCCTTTTCGTCCGACTGTTGATCATGTCAGTGGATATGAGGCAAGGATTGGATTGGATGGATGGGATCGAGACGTACCCCAATCTCCGAGAAAGTTGGCTGTGATGGTTCCCAATAATGTCCCCACTACCAGAAGAGAGGTAAAAAGGGATCGGGTGCGCGGTGTCAAGTACCATGTCCCATCTGCCGAGTCTTGGATTCCATAGCGTCGGACAAAGTCGGATGATCCTAATACGCCGTTGAGATAACCTGAGTCGTATCCGATTAGGGTGCCTGGTAGTTACAAAGTTAGCGGGGAATCAGCTATGGTCTGTGGCTGAACACGCACCAGAGGCGAAGAGCATGCCATAGATGATGAATTGACGGCCAGAAATCATGTTGTAGGGAGGTGGAGCTGGACTGTTGCAGCTGCAAGCAGGACCAGCCTGCCACTGATCTGTGGGATCTTATACCACGTGGTTCGAGATATGACTCCTCCTTAACCACTTCCCATTGTAGTGGCGGTGGCGTTTCTCTATCACGGACTTTACATTCCGTCCCGTGTTCTTATCGATTGAGCTTATCTTGAGTATTACTTTGATATCGAACAAACCTTATCGATAGCCATTGCCAAGCCCGGCTGGAACAGTCTTTGTCTACCAGGGAGGATGATGGGATACTGAGGATGACTTTGTGATAGATTGAATACACTGTACATGACGTTCATGCAAGTGCTCTGGAATGGATCTATCTATAGCAGGACTGAAAGGCGGCCAGCTCCTTCATCTGGCCATGTGGCGGAATTCACATTCCTGTGGGATAGTGTTGGCAGTTCCCACGGTGGAGCCCGGCTGAGGAATGTATTTTCCGCACCCTAATCCAGCAGACCTATATGGTTGGGTTCCTATAGGGCCATTCACTCCTACATGTATGAATCGCTACTTTGATAAGTAACTTTTTTCCTGACATCAGTGCTCTCAGACCGCATTACAACATCATGAAGCCCATTATCAATCGTCTTGATGACGATACGGTGCAATGTGTCATCCACAAGATAAAGACTAATGGCACTGACTCGCGTCACTCAGTACCTCATGCTGTATCTCTTGGAACCGGGCTGTGGCAAATGCGCAATGCCCCTGTACCAGCGACGCAGAAAGCCATCATCACGCCTCAGATGAAAAGCACCCTTAATCAGGAGCTTAACGCAATACCTGTCCAAGACCCTGGCTTAGGAGAGGTTCTGGTTCGGATCCTCTATTCGGGTATTTGTCGGAGTGTAAGTCAATCGCTTCCCTGCCTTCAATCTTGGCTTATGCAAATCTTAGGATGCATCTTTCTCCATCGGTCCCCTTCCCGGCTACCCCAAACACAACCACATAGCAGGCCACGAAGGCATCGGCCACGTCGTCAAGTCTCACTACCCGGCTCTAGTCGGCCGTGTATACGGACTTCGTTATCTCGGATCGTCATGTGGTCATTGCACATACTGTCTCCGTGGCTTGGTCACGTCCTGCCCCTCACAGATGAACATCCCGAAACAAATCCCCGGCACTTTCCAACAATACGTCACCGTTCCCACGAACTGTCTGATTCCTATCCCTGAACCCTTACTAGGTGATGATATGGACTGGGCCCTCTACACCTCGGCACTCTGCTCCGGATCAACAGCCTTGACTTCTTTACGCGCCGCGAACCTAAACCCCGGTGATGTGGTTATAGTCGTGGGGATAGCTGGGGCTATTGGACATCTCACTGGGGCTATTGCGAAACATGTCCTAAAGTCACGGGTGATTGGGATTGACTTTCAATCAAAGATTGAAGCACTGGCAGAGAACAAGGACGATTACGCTGATATTCTTCTGAGCGCCGCCGATACGACTGATGATAATACATGGGAGGAACTTCATGCTCGATTACTGGAATCATGCGAGAAGCTACGCGGTGGTCAGGGTCTCTCGCGTATGGCCGAGGCAGTCGTTGTGACAAGTAGCTCGTTCGCTGCTTTCCAACACTTAGAGGAATATGTCTGTGATGGAGGGAGGATTGTTTGTGTGGGGTATGCATTCGATTGTCCATCCCCTGCATGAGATATACTGATAAATATGTCGCAGGGTTCCCAAAGGCCTCAATATGCTGCAAATTCCATTACACGCGATCGTTGAACGTAACTTGTTCGTGACTGGTAATTTGATGGGAGGGCAGCAGGAGGTGCTGCAGGTGATGGAATATATCCGATCTGGGTGGATAAAGCCGAAGATTACGAAGATTGGGATGGAGGAGATCCCGGTTTGGATGCAGAATTTGGTGGATTGTCGGACTGTGGGGAAGGTGGTGGCGATGATTAATGGGCTTGTAGGTTCCTGAAGCGTGTTTTTGGTTGAGCGGTCGTCTTATTGTGCGCATATTTTGGCTGAATGGTCACTTTGTAGTATATGTTGCCTCGCTGTATATATTAACGTATGAGATGTCTGGGTATCGATCCAGGGTATGCTCATCTTGCCGGTCGATGGACTACAATCCGGCTATAATGTTTTCAATTTGTCATCCCATATGATGTAATCCTATGGCCATGAATATCTCGTCATTTCTGATGTCGACTTACATTGACTGGTAGCGAATGTTGGAGACGGTTCGCACATGCTACTTCTCTCTGCGTGGTTATTGGAAGCTTAGAATATCTAGGGCAACATGCCGTTTGCGAAGGTAGGTTACATTACAAAGATGCACTAAAACTCCTAATTGAACCTTTTTCAAAGAATATCCCAAAAACTCAAGCCTCAGTCGGATCATGAGCAACGACTTCAATTTCCACCCGCATGTCATCCTCTCCCAGCCGGGTCACACCAACACAAGTCCAGATGGGCTGGTGGTCAGGCATGTACTTCCTAAAGTTCCGGACCATGGCTGCCAATGCCTCGTTGTTGATGGGGACGTGGTACGAGTTGACGCGGTAGACCTGTGACCAGCCCTTGCCCCCGGTATCCTTCAAGCAGCGCTCCACATTGGCAAACGCGAGATCAATCTGGGCGTTGATTTCCTTTTCGAACTCGCCCGTCTCGGGATCCCAGCCACCTGTATTCCCTGAGTTAATGTCATGAGCGGAGGGAAGGATGGTGGTCTCTACCTTGGCCTGCACATTCGATCCGATCCCCCACGCGCACGGCCTGGCTGTACGAAAAGTCGCGCTGTTTCTGCTTGCCGGCGCCATCGTAGGCGTAGAACTTGAGGTGGGACATAATGAAGGAGAGGTATTTGTGTTGGTGGTGAGAACTCTTCGCTGAAGACGTCGCTGGGTTGGGTTTATATAGACTTGAGGGCCATGGATTGGCCAATCGCGGGTGGCGTTGGACCCACCGGGCGGAATGTAAATTCCTATCGATATCGATGTGTCATCGCCTCACAGCATATACGTAGTGGACATGCACGTTGAATCCAACGTCTCCTCAAACACGATGATAGGAATTTGGCAAAGAGTATCCGTTCAGGCGAAGATCGATCATGTCGACCCGAGCGAAATACGCCTTTCAGGCATGTCAGGAATGCCGCCGACGTCGGGCCAAGGTAAACCAATCCAGTCTTCTTACATGCCTTTTCTGACTGCCACTAGTGCGATGGAGAACGACCCTCATGCGCGCGATGTGTTAGTCGCTCCGTCGAATGCAGGTACACCGTCGGGGCCAATCACCGGGGAACTGCCCCCAAGTCTCTTGTTGCTCTTCTCCAGAGTCGAATCAAGCTCCTGGAACAGGTGTTGTTATTGCACTCAATTGACTTGGATGCTTCTGTTGCCCAATTGAGAGCCCGAGGAACAACGTCTTTCGTTGCAGATGAGATAGCCACGGAGTGTGACGGCTCGTTGAATTTCGGCGGCGATGGGGAGGCACGATACTTTGGAGCCAGTAGCGGGCGATTGGAGCTTCAATCCAGCGGTATGTCAAACTTCTGACAGTCTCCCTGGACCAACAATAATTTTCTTGGGATAGGAACAACGGATGCTGGACCCATCTCGTCGGATGCTGCAGCCCGACATCTCTCTGCTCTCTATCACCAAGCAAGGGACCAAGAAACCGAGATACCCGTGGAGCTGATGAATCACCTGGTCGATCTATATTTCGAATGGGAGCAACCATGGTTCCAGGTTGTGGATGAGGCATTGTTTCGCCAGAGCTGGCAAACCGGCGGAAGGTATTGCAGTCCACTGCTTCTGAACTGCATTTTTGCCATCGGGTCTCGATATTCGGACCGAGAAGAGGTGCGATCCTGTCCTGAAGACCCAAATACAGCCGGTCAATTGTACTTGGAGGTCGCCGAGGTGCTGCTACATTTTGACCTCAAGTCACCCAGCATCACCACCATTCAGTCACTGGCCATCATGGCCATGTGTTATGTAGTAAGTGGGCAATAACAGTTTCATGCTTACTCTAACTCCAACAGGCAACCGGGTTTGATGCCAAGGGTTGGCTCCGCCACGGCATGGCCATTCGTTTGGCACTCGATATGGGATTGAATCTCGACCATTCCAACCTAGTCCGTTCACCTCAACTTCCAGCGGAGGAGGTGAACCTTCGCCGTCAGATCTATTGGGCTCTTTACTGCACCGACAAACTCTGGGCAAGTTATACCGGTCGAGTCTGCACCATGCTCGTAAGTAGACCCTCTTCATATCAACTACGTATGTCTTACATGTGCCAGGACTTTCAAACACTGGTCAGCCTTCCATCGACATTTTCATCAGTAACTATTCGAGATTCACCCCGCCGGACCTCGTTGGGAGCCCTACACTATGCCCTCTGTACCCAATGTCAAATTTTGGAAAAGATCCTAGTGAATTTGTGGGTGCAAACCTTAAGGTACATGTCAGAGAATAGACAACTAACCTCCAAAGGTACGCACCAAAGAGACTACCGCCAGGGATCCGAAGACAAGCATTCTTCGAATCCTGCCTCCTCGAGCTCAAAACCTGGAAGTATGACCTCCCAGTGGGCCTGACTGCCAACGATCTGCAAAAGGGAGACAGCCTTGCTCATATCTACATCCTCCACATGGTCTATCACACGTCGATCATCCTCCTAGCTAAACCATTCCTATCTCCAACATCGAACCCTCCACACCGCGCCGGGGACCCATCTCTGATCATACAGATAAATTTATGCATGGAAGCCGCACGCGACATCTGCCTCCTTGGCAACAAGTACCGCGAAATCTTTGGCAGCTTTCGTCGAAGCCCTGTTACAGCGACTCATTGCACTTTGTCCGCGGCACTTGTGCTATTACAGGTGCGGGATGGTGGAAAGAAGTCCTATGGTCCTAGTTTACAGCTAGTCGAGTCTTGCATTCTGACCTTGAAAGAGCTATCCGATTCATGGATGCCAGCTCAGAATTATTGTCGTGGATTACAGCGTATCCTTAAAAGGACACATTACACCGGATCTGCTGTAAATGAGGGGGCAGTTAGCCATGAAGATGAATGTCATGACAACAGTGAGCTTGAAAGTCAGGACATCGATCAAAACCAGCCCTTCATAGGATCAGATCTTGAGGATATGGATTTTGTCAATTGGATGGAACGGTTTTTGTCATCGGTTGAGATGGGAAATCCTGGTAACTGGTTCCCATCGACTGAGCATGCGATGGAGTATCATATGGATCATGATTAATTTTTGCCACTTCTTTATGAGTATATGTTGGAGTGGCTACTAAGGCGATTCAACCGTGTAGAATGAGATGGATGATGATCTAGCTAGGGGCCTCGTAGGCCATCTATATGGACTAACTAGCGGTGTAGGGAGGAGTGTCACGTGACCCTATGTTGCCTACCGGCGTGGGAGCCCATCGGGGATCCCAACAGTATATCTCGCTCGAAGTATAGCATTACTTCTCTGTTCTTAGCACACATTACATTCTCCCACCAATAACTCCACTTGTCCCTCGAAAACTGTGAGCATCTCCACACCACTCTCATAATACCGATATATAACCCCAAAATCACTCCACATACATCCCCTTCAACACAAGATCCAAGCACTCCCTAACTAAGAACACTCTCTTCCAACCCCACCCACCCCTCTCTCCCCCAAGACCTAACCAACAACTCCTCCGCCCTCCTCGAAGGAACCACCTCACCCAAATCCCTAGCTTCATTCTCCGGAACAGCCGGCAACACCCCATCCTTGACCCCCGACTCACGAAGCACATCCAACACATCAGTCCAATTAAACGGCCTCGCAAATCCGAATATCCGCTCCGAGGTTACACTGCGATCCAACAGCGCAGTGATATGTAATCTTGCTGTGTCTTGGACGTTGATGAACCATTCTAATACATATTGTATATCCGTTAGCTCTCCTTTAGGATATTCTCCAAATGATAGAGGGGAAAGAGGGAAGGTGAAAACTAACGCGGCGGAATAGCCCTCACAGCAAAATCATTCCCCGCCTGCAATCCACGAATAAAACTCATCGTTGAGCCGGGGATGTGCGGGTGGAGGATCTTTCCGAACTAAGTCGCCGGATATCAGTTCAATTAGCCATCATTTTTACTACCCGCTGGGTCTATTAAATTGGATTGCTTACATTGGTGCCCGGGAGGACTGTGTTGAATACAAACCCGGGGTCATTTTCCCTTACCCAGTTCCAGGCGTGGCGTTCACCTTCGGTTTTGGATGCCGCGTACACGAGGAAGGGTTTTTGGGCGGGCGGGGTGGTGGGGGAGTAGGCGAGGGAGACGGCGAGGTCGTTGTATGTTTCTGGATTTCTAGTTAGATGTATCGTTGGGTGGGGGGGTGTGGTTGGGATGTAGATCTGACCATGAGTAACTCTAATTCCTGGTTTATTCGGCTGTGGTAATAATGCAGCGGTCGATGAAGATGTTAGAACAACTCTTCGAATTGAACTGTGTTTGGCTGCACATTGGAGAAGAAGTTGCGTAGATTTGATTGTCTTATCTATGACGCTTGTATCAGGACTTAATGACACGTCCGAGGCCTGGAGATATGCTCAGTATAAACCGTTTACCGTATGGGGATGGTAACATACTACATGAATGACACCTGAGACGTCGCGCATGATTTCATCCAAGGTAGTGGCGTCGTTCAGATTAGATAGAGTAACGCTTTCATAATGGGTGGTGCTGTGTCGACTGTGGAAGAATTCATCGAGCCAGGGTTTTGGGCTTCGGATTGTGCCTCGCACGTTGTAGCCGAGTTCGAGGAGGAGGTCGATGATATGCGAGGCTATGTAGCCGTTGGCGCCGGTGACGAGGATGCGGGATCCGGTTGAGAGGGAGGGATTGTTGAGGAGAGGCAACATGTTTTATGATATTGGGATCTTTTTAATGACTTGGGTGAAATAGTTTTGTACGCCTTGATGTATGATATAAATAGTGGAGTGCTCGGGGTCGAGTTAATTCCCGAGGTATAAGGCTTGGTAATCGGGTTTGTCATGGGATGGATTGTAAAGAGTGATCCAAGGACACTCTTCTTACATTTATGTTAGTTTGTAATCAAAAAGAAGGAGTAAAGATCGTCTCGAAGAGTCAATCTTATCGCATTATGATTCATTGCCTAGGGCTGATCTTAGCGGAGGAGTAGGGTCTGCAAATATATATCTCCTCCGTCCCCCACCCAGCCTGCCACCAGTTCACAATCGACATTCAGTTGTCTCGAGATCAATCTGAGGACAATTCAATAAATTGAAAAGGATTATCTAACCAATCGTCCATAATTCTCCAATAGAAAGGAAAAAAAAATTATGGAGCAAAAAACGACGACAGTCGGATTTGAACCGACGCCTCCGAAGAGAATAGATTTCTAGTCTATCGCCTTAGACCGCTCGGCCATATCGTCTTATTATTGGTTAATGCTCTACTTTGTGTCTTATCAGGCTAGAAAATGCAGCGAAGTAAATATCAACTGATGCCCACTTGCAATGATCGGATTTAGTGAGAAGTAAAAACTCATTCTGGAGATTCAAATGGTTCCGTAATAAATCAACTCTTTTAACTGCATTCAAACGTATTCGATCAATAAATCGATGTTTTATCTGAAGATTATGATCCTTAATCAGCACGGCAAAGACTAGTTACTTACCGAACTCTGGGATTTTGATCCAAGATACATACATACAAGATGGTCAACATGATCCTTTGATCCACCATTAAAATACCCATATGCAAAAATATTAAAATCCCCGTAAAATGCCCTACATTGCATTAGTCCAACAAATACCTACATGGCTCCCTCTCTACATACCTGTAGTGAATAGCGATAAGAGCACCATGACCATGCCTCCGGCGGTTCCCAATCTCATTTATCTACAGAGTATGTCCCCTACAAAGTAAAGCAAACCCCCAATGACAAGATACCATAACCAACACCATATAGCATCACTCAACCTCCCTCAAAGAAAATGCCGAAAAATATAAAACCACCCCCCCTCCGCCCAATCTCCATTCGTTTCCGCGCCAAGCCCCCACCAGCCAAGCCGCAACAAATTCTGCAATCTGATCAAGCCCTGCCTAGTACCTACACTCTCCAGTAAAATCAGGCATACAAAGCCCAATACCCGACATCCATAATTAACTCATCGTCACCATCACGGCCCAAAAATCTCTACTGGTAGATACATCCAACCGTAGTTCTATAACCCATGGAGAAACGAACTAAACCAAAAACGGTACCACCTTGCGACCTCCCCACTCCAAGTAGCCCCACAGATCGATTTCTGCACCTGCGGGTCGGCCCAGAGATTTTCATTTCATGTCTTAAGGTTTAGGTCGATTTGGGTACGGGTTTGCGAAGATCCACTGGTTCCTTTCTTGCCAAGGTCCCGTTGCCTGGAGCGGTAGTTTGGGCCGAGGGGTTGGATGTGCTAACTGCCAAGAGGAGATGACTGTTAGAGTGTTAGGGTTTGGGATGGTACGGGGGTATTTTTGGTAGTATTTATCACTGGTTCGTAGTTGAGAATTGATTAAAGTGTGTGTGGTAGATTGAGAGTTATTTGGGTGTTGGGGAGGGGTTATACCTGTCTCTGGTGGGTGGTTATGTTATGTCTGGAGTATGGATTAGGAGATGCTTCATGAAATGATGCCTCTATACGTAAATTGAATATTAAAGAATGAATGCACATTCACAACTAAATTAACTTTTCATTATCTGCAGTTACTCTGCCAACGCAATTACATATACTCATATCAACATAACCAATTCAATCCCAATCCCCTCTATCCCTCATCGCCACACTACAGCTCACCATCCAAATGCCTCCTCAAAGTACTCAACATCCTTAAACCCACCCTTCATGACATCATACACCGCAGACCGACACTCATCCGCCATCTTGGCCGGTCCACAAGTAATAACCGCCAACCGGGCGGAGCTAGCATGCGCTTCTTGGGCAGCAGTGCTAACGGTGGAGTTGATAGATGGCCGTCCGTAGCGTAGCTCAACATTCAAGTCCTCGACGGAACGAACAGATCCACTTGCCTTATCCTGGAGAGCGGCAGCGTCGACCTCCGCCTCCTTCTCCTTTGTGGGAGTGGTAGCCTCAGAGCCAATCCCGTTTCCGACAGCGGATTTGTCCGTGCAGAAGAGCGTCGTGATGATGTCGCTGTGTTCCAGAGCCGTAGATAGATCCCGGCAGCAGACCTCATCGAAGATCTTCTTCTGACGACCCGTCCAGATGAGATGGATACGGGTAGTTTTGGTCTTTCCGGCCGAGACCCGCGAGATGTGGTCTATGATGTAGGGCACGGCGGCGGCAATTCCCGTTCCGCCCATGATCATGAGGATGTTGTCGAAGGTGTGGAGAGGGGCTTGGTGGCCGTAGGGACCTTCGAGGAGAAGCTTGGTGCGGATTTCACCGCCGGCTTTCTGGCATTGGTTGCGGAGACGTTTCGTCCAGCCGTCGTAGGGTCGGATGTAGAAGATCAGCTTCGTCTCGTATTCCTTGGAGTCGGGGTTCTCGTAGCATCCCAGGGTGAAGGGGTGGTTTTCCCAACCGCGGAGAGTGTAGGGTTGGTAGAGGTAGTAGTGTTGACCTGGGGCGGGTGTCAAAGACTGCGCGGCAGGGTACATCTCCACCCGGACCAGGTCGCTTTCTGAGCTGTAGGTGACGGTGGAGAGGGGCGTGGAGAGGAAGCCCTTTCCGAACCGCACGTGCATGTTGCAGTAGACCATTCGCACGTAGCGGAGGCCACGGTCGAAGAGCCAAATGGCTACCAGGGGCCAGAGGTAGGGGGTGTAGGTCTTTCCGTCGAAGCTGGTGTGCCTGGTATTATGTTAGCTTTGATGTCTGAAAGTGGAGAGGGGCCGTACATGAATAAGGCGTAGATAGTCAAGATAGAAAAGAGGAAGTGGATGATGATGAAGATTTCATAAGACTTCTGACGAAGGTAGGTTGCTGATTGGACCAGCATGAAAACCATGACGATCGTGGCCTGGACTTGTCAATTTTCAACCATAAGGCATATCTGGATTTGACATACCACGACACCCATGTACCAATACTCTTGTTTCCATGCATTCCAGTATCTGCCATCTGCGTATTCTCAGCATAGTTCATAGATACTGAGATAGTATACCTACCGTAAATTGCAAAAACCACCGAGTAGTTAATCGAATGAACCACTGCAAGAAGCGTGCAGACCCATGCCGTATGACGGTGGAAAATGTTGAACGATTGCAGGCTAAAGTCGGTTGCCCAGAGAAAGATGTTGTTTCGTCCAGAAAACAGCCACAGGAAGGGCAGGCAAGCATAGGAAAGAACCCCAGTCCGGTCTGAGGAGTATTGCCAATTCTGCTGGAAGACACTCGGTGTCCTAGAATCAGTTAGTCATATTGTAACAAAGCCATGAGTATCTCCACGTACTGGATGTTACCCGTGAAACTCTCATAGTTGACGCATGCCAGAATAATAGAAATAGCATAGAAGCCAAAGACAATCAGGGTATCTAGTCGCTTGGGAATCGTGTGATAAAGGAAGAGCTGCTGATGATTCGACAGAAAAGGAGCGAAGCTGGCGGGAATAACAAAGTAGGTGCGCACAAAGTGTGCCGCGGCAGCAATAGGTCCGAATGATCTGCAGCCAGATGCGCTGTGCTTTTCAGTATCCCTACCGTGGGAAAGACTCATGCTGGCCCGGGCCATCTTCCAGGCTTTGGAGACCATTCCAAGGAATAGGACACCGCCCCAATACCCCATGATGCCCCAACCCATCCGTTTATCTTTGACTAAGGCATAGTCGTGAGTCACCTGGTGAAGGTTAGTAATCCCATCACCAATTACCAAGAAAGTAGACTCACGTATGACTTGTATGCTCGCTTGTAATATGAATGGCTGAGTAGGACCGGGGTGGAGATGGTTCCAGTTGTAGTGGTACTGTTCGTTTCCGGGTCGATGAAGGACAACGAGGCAATATACTCATCGGTAGCGTTGGCTTCAATCCCCGTAAGGCTGATCAGAGTTGCACTTGCATCCTCACAAAGACTGTCCCAGTAGGTTGGAATTGCAGTGTTGAATTGTTCCTTGGTGCACCATGATTTGGCGCTAACATATGCGGACATGACGCCCACTGTGCTTGTGCATAATCCCGTCGAGCTTGATCCATGGTGTCCACGTTTCTGTCTCATTGATCGTCTGCCATGGGATGTAACCTTGAAACCACTGCTGGAAGCACTGCTGGCAGTGATGGTGGAAGAAGAATCACTGGAACCATGTCCAGAGCTGCTAGACGAAGAGCCGTGTCCAGAGCTGCTCGAGCTAGAAGACGTCGTGGTTTCGCCCTCCCATGTGTAAGAGCCAAGAGATTCATAGATAGCGTAGAAGCAATAATCTGGAAGATTAGGAGCCGAGAATGAGAAGCCCCCCGCGACGACTGGGGTCACAACCCAGCTCAGTCCAAGCAGGATAGCAGCTTGGGTTCGCATTGTGAGGTGAATGGACTTAAGAACCTGACTATTCAACTGAAGCAACAAGCCCGGTATATATGCTTGACCAGACTTTGCCTTCCACTATCATGCGGTCCTAGATGGACCCATTCTTGTCACTTGATTGCAAATATCCGAGCCCACAGACTCGCCTCCATCAGACTTTTCGTTGGCAAGTTTTCTTCCGGTCATACCTCCTGCACTATTCCGGACCTCGGAGGCCGCTCATGTAGTCAACCCCATATTTACTAGTCGGTTAGTATCCATCAGCGAACCATCAAACTGTATGGTACTCACTATCAGATGAAGAGATTGATAAATCGAAATGACGACCCATCAGTATACGTATGCCTAATTCTCACTAACCATGGCCACCGTCGGAGCCCCCCCGTATGTGGGCTGCCAAGACCAGTATCCCCGAGGTAGCCTGAATCTGATAAGATCCACCAGTCGAGGAAGGGCCATATAACTGACAACAATTGCTTGGCCACCAGGGCTGGTCTCCACTGGCAGGAGGCCACCAGCCTGGATGCCGTGCTTGGCAATCTCCCGCAGGTTAACAGACTGTCGGGGTCCCGGAGCACATGTGGCCGCACCCCATATGTCTCGTCGGGACCTGTTCCGAGCCCTGAGTGATTCTAAGCGAGAGTGGACGAGTACTGTCTCCTTGGCACTTCATTTTCGCCTTGTCGGGTCAGTATCCCATCATGGGAGTTTGTTCCAGGTTCGTTGTCGCAAGGTATGCACGTTTCAGGGTAGCCGGTCCGTATGCTGGCGGCAATTATGTACCTATTGTCTGATCAAAGCGAAATTGTCCTTGGCATGACATGTAAATCCATGGTTGGGCTGCATCTGGCGCAAGAATCATTCTTATCAATCTCTGCGTTCCAATGAACGGCCGGCGTGATAGTTGGGCAGGATAGAGCCAACGAGGCATAGGCCATGGCAGTATCATTCGGATCCTTCTGGCCATTGGAGTCAGTCACACCCTCAAAGTCAATCATCCGTCTCAAAGAATATTCCAGTCTGTTTCACGGTGATGTATGGCCACTAACAGTGCTGGGAGATGATTTTCACTCCCAGAGTTTCGGATCCACCTGCTTTCAAGTCGAGCAATTCCTTCCCCATGGCTTTCTACTCACTTGATTCGTCCGTGTCCATGGAAACACGAGATGCAAGTCACCGCAAATTGCCCGTACGGTGGTTCCACCGGCCCACCTGTGGTATCCCGAGTCAGTGCATCTAGAGAAAGAAGAAGTTTGCGAGCCTCCCCGCCGAACCTCGAGCTTATTTAGCGAGCCGCGCTAACACAATCCGTGGCGCCCTTTATTTCCACGGGTCATCTTATCAATCATTACCGTATGGAGCGGGTATGTTTGGTATAATTACGGGCACATGGGTGGTGATATCGGCTCGTAAAGAGCGCTACTTCCATCTGAGTTTGAGGTGGAAAAAAGCCCAAAAGGAATGGAAAGCATTTCAAAGTCAATATAAAATTTCTAGCGGGCTTAATCACTTTCCTACCGCCATGGGGTGCACCATATTCAGTTACGACGATGAACACTAGCTCTTAGCCCGCCCCCATGTCACTGAAATACAGGAACGGTACCGCAACGGGCGAGTGGTACTCCACCACTTATCAGATCCTGGACCAAGTCCTCCGCCAAACCAAGCACTGGTGAAGCCTTGCTATCAGATTTTTCTTCTTGGCAATCATTTATGCCCCGCTTTTACTCCTACTCATGTCTTAGACACCTTGGCAGGCCGCAATGGCCATGATAGAGGCACACCACCAGCGGAGTGTCCTGTCAAGACTGATAACCGAAGACCGACAGACCGTTTTTCTTACGTAGGCAAATCAGCATCGTAGCGGCCCGAATATCCCTAGTGCGATGGCAATTTCGGTATAATGTCTTCCTGCATGAGTAGATTGAGTGCCACCTGAGGGCTGAACAGACAACCCGGAAGAGTAGCCGGACTCGGAGGATAGTCAGAGTCAAACTCTGATCCGTCGGGATATATGTTGCTTTCATTCCCTCAGCAATCTTAGGCAGTTTGGACAAGACCTTTGAATTGGACTCCCTCACTTGCCAGGAATCACTTGCCACAATACTTCTTTGGTTGGTTGCCTTGGAAAAAGCCCGCGACATCATGGCCAACGGTGTTTTTGCAGTCACGGGTAAGATACTTGTCTGTCGAGTGCAGCGCGATGTGGTTCCTTTAGTCGGTGCTCACCAGACATAGTGTTCTTCATCTGCTTTCGTGAATGTCTCGAAAGTGTTATCATCGTGTCCGTGCTTCTGTCTTTCCTGAAGCAGACCCTAGGATCAGAAGGTGATACGGGGACACTGAAACGATTAAATCGACAAGTATGTTCACATCCTTTATATCACCTCAATCTTCCCTTGCCCTTATGCCTTCACTAACGGCTTCTAGGTATGGCTTGGTGTAGCAGGAGGACTATTCATATGTTTCTGCGTCGGAGGTGGTATGATTGGTGCCTTCTACGGCCTCAATACCGATGTCTTCACTGGCAGTGAGGATATCTGGGAGGGTGCTTTCGGATTTATAGCTTCCATTATTATCAGCATCATGGGTGCCGGTCTTCTCCGTGTCTCCAAGCTGCAGGACAAGTGGCGAATCAAGCTCTCTCAGGCTCTGGAGGAGAAAGAGACAGGCCGAGCGGGCATTATGCAACGGTTCAAAGACTGGTCCAAGAGGCATGTCATGTTCCTGCTTCCCTTTGTGACTGTTCTTCGAGAGGGTCTCGAAGCTGTTGTGTACGTCGGAGGTGTTGGTCTCGGTCTCCCTGCTACCTCTTTTCCCCTCGCGGTCGTTTGTGGTCTTGCTGCCGGTATTGCCGTTGGATACCTTCTCTATCGGTGAGTTGTCGAGCTCCCATTATGTCGCTTCGGGTGCAATGAGCCGCCCTCTGTGAGATGAGGCTAATAACTCCCTAGGTGTGGTAACACTGCCTCCCTGCAGTATTTCTTGATTATCTCGACGTGCTTCCTCTATCTTGTTTCCGCTGGGTTGTTCTCTCGCGCCATCTGGTACCTCCAAAACAACGCCTGGAACAACATCATCGGTGGTGATGCCTCTGAGACGGGATCGGGTGCCGGTTCTTATGATATCCGTCAGAGTGTCTGGCACGTCAACTGCTGTAACCCCGAGCTAGGTAGTGGTGGCGGATGGGGTATTTTTAACGCTCTGTTCGGATGGACCAACTCTGCTACCTATGGGTCCGTGCTGGGATACAATCTCTACTGGATCTGTATCATCATCGCATATGTCTGCATGTGGTACAACGAACGGTACGGTTATATCCCCGTCATCACGGCCTGTATGGGCCGAATTCGCCCCAGGAAGGCTGCCAGTCGATCCAGCAGTGAGGGAGTGGTTGAGATGTCCGAGAAGAGGAAGGAGACAGATCTGATGCCCTCTCAGATTGTGACTCGGGAGGTCAAGGGCGCCTGAACCTGTAACAATTTTCCTGTGAGTGGACGATAGGGATGCCGATAGCGGTGACATTGGAAAAGGAAGGGGGTACCTTCCGCACGCAGTGGCTGGCGACGACGGATTGAGTCGGTTGTCGAACTTAGTATTACTTACTTTTATTTGCGCCTCGAGTAATTCCACAGAGGGAAGAACTAATGGAACTAATTATGCTGTAAATCAAATTCTTAACTGGCATTCATCCTTTTGCTGATAGCGATCCATCTCTGTAGGGGGCAGCCAGGGGCTTCGAAAGGAAAGCACAAGATCAAGAATATAAAGTTGTTCAGGCAGCTGATTTGGTCCTTGGATGACAACGCAGTTCCTCAACGTCACCTAGCAGGCAACCCCGATCATCATGTGGCGGGTTGTGCTCGGGGATAAGCGCTGGTGCCTTGAGATCCGGGTGGATCCCCGAGCAGTCAACAACACCGCCGACTCGCATGTATTCATTACCTGCTGGTGGATGCGATGAGATTGTTCCCCGGAAAGACAACATACATTCGCTTTCTATACGATCATGCATCATCCAATTTTATCATGTCTCACTGCTCTTACCAGCTGGACTGCCGTGGCCCTCGCCCTGGGACGACATTCATATCCCCAACCCGTGCAACATACCAACTACATCTTCAACGCCATTCACGCTTCCATGAGACAATGGGGGTCCTCGCTACATCATAATGGCATGTCCTTCTTCCTTGCCTCCGTACCGCAGGGGACTAAGCTCTACCATGGCGATTCACGTTCAGACATTATCTCCGACATTGGTTGGATGGCCTTTGATCATGAACACGCGATGGTATTTTCTCGTCCGGCTTCCAGGTCATTACAGGGCCCGTCGGATCAATCCAGCTCGCAGCAAGTGATGGCATCCCAGGAAGAGAAAGATGAGGCGGGTTGGTTCCATACCTACGTGACTAGAAACGATCTGCGACTGGTTTACATCGATGGAACCTCGGTGGGAAAGTCACATATAGGCACACTGGACCTGCAGGATCGGGTTCTTTTTGAGGATAAACTTGAGAGCAGAGGTGTGACCTAGGAGTCGCAGCGTGCTTGTGTGGTGTGTCAAATCGCCCAGGAGGAATGGAATGGCCGGATTGACGGCGTGATTCGCATGGCTGCTGGATTTGAGATCATCCTCTGCAAACCCGAGCAGATGCTAAAGCCAGTGCATATTTCCCGCGCCAAGCTCTCCGGTCAGGATAAAGGAAAGCAGGGCAGCAAGCCGGGGAAATTGCTTCGCACCGTCACGTCCAAATATCACATCATGAGTGATCCGCTTTGAAAAGCCAGGCTCAAGACATCATCACCACACTAAGCCAGATACCTGGCGCCCGAGACGAGTTTAGGCTAGGAGACGGAGTGCTGTTCGGTAGTCATACTAACTGTCTGGAGGAGATTAATCATGCCAGAGAAGCATCAGACTGATTCCTCGTCTTACAATAAGGATTCGCGCCCTGATATCTTACTACTCCTACTGGCTCTTCAGAGCATGGCTTTCGTCTCAGATCCGAGCTGATTATCAATTCGAGAACATTGAAACATGCCATTGATATTATCCACTCTTGAGCGAATGAAATTGAAACATCTCAGGGCGAAGTATTTCCATTTTGACGCTATACAACTAATGATGTTTTGTTCGAGATGCAGGATCATATGCGGAGGGAAGAGAGGGATTGTGTTATACTCGAGAAATATAAAATGGTCCACATCGTGTGCGAAGTGGAGCTTCCTCTCGTTGATTGCAGATCTAGAAGCATCGCTGACAAGAACGTTGAATTTAATCGCGGAGGAGTGGAGCGCGACTGATCACCCGCGAATTGCGCGACGGAGGGTGAGAATCCTGGGTGATTAGGTAGTCTCCCCATTCTAACATAGCTTGTGTGTGTAGACATATCCTAGCGCCTAGTTTACTCGCTCTTCTGGTCCTGCTTGATGAGGTCTGCTGCTCTTTCCGCGAATGCGTACACAGTGGCTTGCAGATTCGCTGTGCTTACAAGCGGGATAGCACTCGCATCCACAACCCTCAGGCCTTCGATACCATAGACCTTTAAATTAGAATCCACCACTCCGTCCTTCTCGCGAGGCAGCATGGAACAGGTCCCTGCAAAGTGCCACATGGAGACTAAATTATCCCGAGCATACTTCTTTGCGGCATCTAAGTCTCCCTGGAAGTCTGCATCTGGGTCTCGGAACTTTAGTGGCTGTTCGAGCAGCTCCCCGAGCTGAGGTGACTCTGCCAATTTTTTGATACGGAGCAAGTGCCGTGCCATGACCTCCAGATCGAGAGGATTCGACAGGTAACCAGGGTCAATGATTGGGGGCTTTTCAGGGTTGTTGCAGGTACTTGAGTTCGTTTCGTCAGATTTGATGGATATACGGTTTGTTGAGGGGGCGGGGGGTATGGGAAGGTAGCATGTGAAATGTGAAGAATCAGGAGTTAAAGAATATCACACAATCCCTATCAGGGAAGAAGAAAACAGAAAAGAAAAATTACTTACATATGAACGCTTCCGCGAGAAAGCGGTTGAGAGAGCATTACTCCAAGCGTGACGAACTTTCCAGGTGAAGCAGCTGGGATATTCCCGTCCTTGAGGTCTTTCGAATAATTAGTCTGCCCTAAGGCGGACAGGTACGCAGCTGATGGTTGTTTGGGATCAAGAACAGTGGCCTTGGCGATGTCATAATAGTCTTTTGTCGCCCTGTGCTGTGAGTTCTCAGGGGCGTCGTTCGTAAATAATGCCTGGAGAGCACTTCTGTCCGGCTCAGGAAGAGGTAAATAAGCGTAGGTATGAACTCCGAGTGATGCTAGGCGCCCAGATTGCGTGGCAGCGTAGTCCTGCATTGCCTGACCAATGGCTTCAGGCTCTTGTCTAACCAGAGAGTCCTTAGTCTCAAGTTCAGGCTTTGCTTGGAATGCGGTGTACGATATCATATGATCTAGAAGTTGTAGATGTTAGTTCTCATCCCAAAACGAGTATGCGTCAAAACGAGAGATGGTTTCAAGTTATTTAAGAGCCGGTGCTAGACTAGAAGCTGTTCACATACCCTGAAGATTCTGCCCAACCCCAGGAAGGTCCACCACTATATCAATGCCATGCTGTTCAAGAAGTTCTGCTCTACCAACTCCTGAAAGTTGGAGGATTTTAGGAGATTGAAAAGCACCAGCAGCAAGTATAACTTCACTCTTTGCCTGAACAGTCGTTGAGATGCTATCGAGCTTATATTGGACTCCAATAGCTCTGGGAGGGTTGCTTTCATCAAACAGAACTCTCTCAACAAATGAGTTCGTAAGAACATGAAGATTTTGTCGAAGCTCAGCAGGCTTAAGATAGGCTGAGGCAGAGTTGCTTCTCCTACCCTCCGAGTCAATACTAGCCAGACAACTGAATGAGCCAACAGAGCTGTGGATGAACGGATCTCCGGTATTGTATTGTCCACTGCTGCGGAACAGTTCGGCCCATGCCCTGCGAATAGGGTGTGTCTCATTACCAAAAGACGTTTGGATTGGACCTTTCGCTTCGTTCAATCTAGGCCAGTCCTTGATTGCTAGGTTTTCTTTAGCACCTTGTGCTACAGTTGGACTGTTATAGGCCTTAGAGAAATAGTCCTTTAACATAGTCCAATTCCATCCAGGATTACCGAGTTCCTCCCATGAGTCAACGGCTCCCTTGAAAGGAGGAACAAACACGTGTGCATTTAATGAACTGGATCCTCCAAGTGCTTTGCCCTGGTTGAGACCAAGCACTCTGCCATTGAGGCCCGGCTATAAAAAAGATGAATCAGCCCCCACACACCCCTTTTATAGAGGCAGAGACGGTTCTTACCTGAGGGGAAGATTGGAATTTCCAATCAGCATCAGATCCAAGTAGTGCGGCATAAAAGATGGGGATGTTCACGCGAGGATCTGCTGTCATGTCGGCGCCTGCTTCAAGAACCAGGACAGAGATGCTAGGGTCCTCGCTGAGTCGAGAAGCAATCACCAGGCCAGCTGTACCGCCGCCAATAACGACAAAGTCATATGCAGTAGCCATTCTGTACTGTGTGCAGGCTTAGTTAAAGATTGGACGAGAGTATGAAAAGAAAAGAACTGCGAGCGTAGCAAGTAGTAGCTTGTTAGGAAGTAAAGGAATGCCTGGAGACGGGAGATATTATATACCTACTATCTATGTTAGTACTAAAAGATCTTCTAGTATCATAATAATGAATAAAGAAATAGATTTCATGAATACCACCTTCCAAGATACTAGTTAGAACTGTTATAATTAGCCCCACAAATACCAGTTCTACCCCGCCCCAAAGTACTGGATCGAACGGCCTCTCAATGCATTTTAGGCTTTTAGCATGTCTATAATTTCCACGGTATCTATTTCAAATCACCGGCTTCTGCCCCACTATAACTTCCAACCGCTAGTTACATAGCATGAAACTGAAGTCTGAGATAATCATTGCGGGCTTTATATAAGAATAGAAGGTGAGGTAGTGTGAAGAATATGTCTGTATCGCGAAGTACCAAACATATGGGTGTATTTCCTCAAAGTTTTTTCGCTAGCTGTCTAGTAACTACTCCTCGCGGATACTCATGTCCGCGAGAGGACTGTGGGTCACGTGATTAGGATATCTCGCCAACTAAGGCTTGCGACGGGGCTGACATCCGCATGGGCATCTCTCGCGATAGACCCATATTGCGACTGTTGTAGGGATATGGATCCTTACACTTTACTACAAATATATTACCGTATCAGTACTAGAGGATAACCTCGAAAGTGGAGAATAGAGGACTGTATTAAAGTTTAGATAGGTTTAAACTTAGAGTACTTATAACTAGGGGAAAGGGATTTAGGAGAATAATGAGAACAGACTCCAAAAGTCCTTCCGAGAAAGCTTATTTTCGCCTTGCGATTATAGGGTTTTAGGCTATAATATGAAGACTTACAAGGCTAATGTCCTGATACTGAGTTATCAGTGTAAAGTTGACCTGAAATATCGGCGGCGAGATGTCGGTGCTGATTGAGGGCATTCTATTGCTCACACTTCACACAATCTAGCTGGCTTTGCAGCTGGCTTAGGAGTTCATTTAGATGAGCTTTTAGCAACGGCACCACAAAAGTTCGCCCTGCACATGAAGGTGAGTTGATGGGCATTATACAATTTTCTACCCTGTACAGTACACGCTCGGCTAATTGTCCTTCACCACTTGTTTACCTTTTTGTACCTGCCCAACGGCTGTGAGCCGCAGCAAACTCGTGTGTCAAGACATAAATATTATATCTCTACATCAACCTCTTTCCCAATAAGGTCTTTTGCTGTCTGTGCTATGGTACCCTCTTCATCACTGCCTCGTATTTCACCATGGTACTGATTGAAGCCTTCGCGCTTTGCAAACCTGTCCAATATAACTGAAATAAATCGATTGAAGGACATTGCACTAGTTAAAGTATTGCTTATCTTGTTGCTGGCATCGTCAATCTCACCATTGATACTTTCATTGTTGTACTACTGATGCCTCTGGTTTTTAACTTGCAAATGATTTTATCCAAAAAAATCGCCGTCTCTGCAATGTTGAGCCTCGGGGCAATGTAAGTTTGCTCCTCTTGTTCTATTTCTTTTTGCTTGCAGAAATACGTTACTTACCATGTTAACGCTTCCCAGGATTTGCGTTATTTCTCTATTGAAGGTCGTTTGGTTATGGACTTGGAATCTAGCTGACCTGACCTACACTGTTACACCTGGTGCTATTTACTCGGTATTGGAACCAACGCTTGGGGTTGTAAACGCATGTTTACCTACAATCAAACCTGCTATCACCGAGCTATTTGGAGCGTTCGTACTTCTCCTGTGCTGCTTGATTGCTTGACAAGGATTCTTGATTTCCACATTGAATGCTTTAAACTGACACTTGATAGTAGCACGCTTCATGGTACGAAAGGCAGTTCCGACAGCGGGGGTATCTATAGTAGCAGATCGAGTCGAAAGCTCAACGGAAAAGTGAAAGGCAATCTTACTCGGGATTTCGAACGGCTTGATGATGAATTTGCGCTTCATGAAGTGCACATCAACAGTCATTCTGATGTCGGTCTCATCAGAGGTGACCATGAATCGTCGAGTCCAAGTTTACCTTGAGTAATGGGGGAGGATCTTATGGCTCAACTTCACTAGTGCAAGCAAGTCGGGCATGTCATGATGTACTATTCGGTAATTTCATTGTATCGAAGCCTGACTTCCACTGTTTAGGCTAGGCGTTATCGTAGATACTATCATATTTTGTTTGCTTATGTATATTACTTTCTCATGTTAGCGTTCAACCCCCTCGGCCTCTTTACTTGCTGCTTACAGCGCTTACAGTCGAGCAAATATGTGAGCATTTAGCGCCAAATCAGCAGTAGTCACGTATTTTTCTGGCCCCACTTCCCGCTCCAAAGAGCAGCGAAAGGCCACAAATCAATCCGTCACTGATTCTGGCTCTGATGTCCTTATTAAAATGCAGTAAGCACTAAAAAAATGGAGGGCCCTCTTGACACAGGAAATGTGTCATTCAGTGTGACCTGATTATCTGATCCATATGAACCCAATTGCTCTGTGGAAAGAAGGCTTTTCGAGGTATGTTATGACAGAATTTCCCAACTCGACCAAAAGAGATACCTCTTAGGTTAGTGGAACAATTCCAAGGTAAATAGTTTCCAACATGTTACCTAGTTAATTTTGAGGATGGCCGGGATCAGAGAAATTCAAATGAGACCAAGGAAACAGGACTCAACTCCAGGGTTTCTATCCAGACCCCACGCTGACAGCGCACATGGTGCCGCACTTACAATCCTGTACTCCACATCCGCTGCAACCTTGTAAGCACAAACAACAGAGGATGGCACCACACAAATTCCGCGCATCAAAAAGGATATCGAGAATCTTGGATGATTGGCTGCTTACCACATACTACCTTACTAGTGTGGGTCTCAAACAGCGGCGCTCGGTGTAGATACCACCAGTTCACGATCACCCATTCTATCCAATCATATTACCGGCATGCTCACCCTTGGTGAGCACGCAGCAGGGTGACCAGCTTTCATGATAACCTATGAACACCAATGCATATCCATTAGGCCTCCTTCATCGTAGTAGCCCCCTCCCTGCCAAGGGTAGCACGGCCACAAGCGATGGCTGCTACACTGGTTATATGGGTTTAGAAAAAGACTGTTTTTGGTTATCCAACACACTACTTATTTGCAACCGAACAAAAACAGCAGAACGGCTACCGGGGCTCGGGCGGCGTAGTCTGGCCATAATGGCCTTAGGCAATGGTTGTGGAGACATCTCGGATCTAGGAGCGTGGACCTGGTAGATCCGGAGAATGTTCGGCGCCAAGTAGCCGAGCCTCCACAATGCCTAAGCATGTGTTGTGCACCAGTACATCTGCCTAGAGAGAGCATCGAGGACCTTCTTCGACTAGTGGGGGTTATTTGTAAGGAACTTTCCTAGGGGAAAAAGTCAAAACAAGGCCATAAGGCCATCATTATCCGCAGATACTCTGCGGACCCCTGGAATCCCCTATATACTCAGGTACATACGGGAGGAGGTAGGTAACTACCTTTGTGAGGACTCACTTCCTTACAGAATACGAATATGGCTATAATTTCTGATAGGTAACAAAGGAGGGAGATGAGGTGGCAAAGAAAATAGTAGGATTTTTATTTTCAGAGTAAGTAAGACAAGAGGGGCTTAATAGGGACCTTCTGCTCCGAAGATAATAGTCGGCGTACTTCATTTTAGGTTTAGTGTTGGCCGTTATAGGAAAGCGGTCAACTCTTTACATAAGCCAACAATAACGTAACTAACTAATCGGTAAGCGAGCGGGCAGTGTAAGCGAGCGGGCAGCCGCGCCCGCCAATACAACTTCCATGAAAAGATGAAGCAATTATTAGCCACTATATACATAAAATCTCGTGCTTACGTGGTGTTTTGACATGTAGGACACCTTATTCTTGTATGTCTTACTGTATTACAGTTACTGCAGCGAGGCGGTGCCCGGTGGTGAGGCTGTTCTTCCTCTGCAGCCGATTCCACCGGCTGGATACTACTTGCTTTATCAGCCCCACAAGTCTGTGTAAATGTGTTTATAGCCTCACTAACAGTGAGGCTGTTAAGGCCTGTCATTTGATGATATGATCTCTTCTTCTTGGTGTTTTATCTTTCTAGCCCAGCTTGTAGTTTATTAACTTCTTCTTCAAGTAAGACAGTCCGGTTGAAGGCAATCTTGTAACTCTTTATAATATAGACTAAGGCTGCTTTTATCTGTAAGGAAGGACTAATTGTATGTTCATAAAGATATCTCTTAATTATTGTTTTATGCTTCTTTAACTGTCTTATATTCTTGGGCGTCTTTAGCAGTGTTGACATAGTGATTATACTACTTGTTAGAGTAGCCTTCTGTAGTTATAAAACAAGCTGGCCAAGCACTTCGTCCGGCTGAAACGGTACTAATCCTGAAGTCTTAAAGGTGCTTTGTATAGTTGATTTCTTAAAGGCAAAAGAACATGCCTCTGGATATATATCCAAAAAATCAATCTTATCAATATAATAAGCGCCTTGGCAAGTTAGCCGTTCTACTAAGCTGCTGTAGGCTTGTTTTAACAGCACGAAACAAGCTATATTAAGTAGTTAATAAAGATATAAAGAATACGGAGGCATACAGATAAAGATAATACTATTTTAACTACAGATATTAGTAAATTCCGGAGTTTAATAGGAGTTGTGTCTATCAAGAATCAAGAAGCTATATTGTCCAATCCGCTAGTCTTTAGTAGCTGGAATGAAGTGTTTATAAAGCCAGTGTAGACTAATCTTATTAAAAGTCCAGCCATTTGGTGATAAATTGATACGCTAATTATGTAAAATATAGTCTTGAAGCTAGGTCTTAATATAGACTTTTTCTTTAAAAATCATATATAGAGTTAACACAGCGCTGGTAGTGTTAATATACTTAATTAAGGTTACTTATTCACGGTTACTAGACTGTATAAGAAACGGCTTACTTATACAGTTAGATCGTGTAACTACACGTGCTGTAGCTACTATATCCATAGCAAAGCCTGTTTTATCAAAATTCTAAACATCTTTATTAAGAATTCTGTATTCTGTCTTAACAGCTTTAACCCGGGCAAACCACTTGCTAAGAATCTTTGGATCCTCGCACTTCGCATGTTGATAGTTTAATCTTTAAGAAAATCAAGTTTTCAAAGCTTTATTATGGTTCACGAAGTTGTATACCTATTTCTTGCCAACGGAGGCTGTAGAATTCGACTCATGTCTTTGAAGAAGGATATTAGCTATTCTCTGAATGTGTAATGGTCAAGGATGAAGCCCACGCTTTACAAGTGAGAGAATCTAATTCTTTAAAGCCTCTTCTTCAGAAAGAGTCAGTTTATGAAAGTTGGTATATATATCATAGCGAGATTGAACTCCTTGCAGGCGTCGTTGAAGAGTTGTTTGTGGAATATTAAAAACACGTACAGCTTCTGCCATAAACGAAATTTTGTCCTTCTGAATAGTTTTAATAGCAAGGCAGATTCGGCCTTCTTGTTCCACCAAAGATTTTGACGATCGAGGCATTTTTGGTGGAGTTGTTGATGGTTGAATTGCTTCAACTTGAAAAACGCGAAACTGACGCGCACGGCTGCCCGCTCGCTTACCGATTACGTTATTGTCTCGATATTGTTAATATCGTGATGATATTAACTAGTGGACCCACTTCGGGTTGGCTAGCGTATTTGAATATTTGGCTACTGGCTAACTCGGCAACTAACACAGCAGTCTGAAATCATTATTCTTTATATTAGCTAGTGTTTCCCGCGTACCTATACTAAAATCACGAATATCACTAATATTATATTGGGAATAGCAGGGCCAGCACAATCTCTTCCTTAAACAGCTTAGCGTCGGTCTCTACTGGCAGAAGTTACGAAGTACGCTGACTATTATTTTCAGAGCAGAAGGTCCCTAATAATCAGGTGAGTATAGAATATGGAAGGGGGGACTGAAGGAGGTTCTTGTATACTTAGAGAAGGTGACAGGCGGTGATGATAGTATAGTATATCAGGGCGACTAAGCTGAGAGCGGGAAAATTAATTATAATAACAAATTTATAAGCCTAACTGCCAACCCCCCGGGCCACTATGTATTGCTCTTTCTCCGATCATGTACCAGAGTTACATCCCAACTTAATCGCTTTCACGTTCTATCCCCGAATCACAAGCTCAGAAATTGGCGCTACAAACAGTGTATAGTGGCGCTCTCCTGTATGGTCAGCCCCCTCGTGGCTGATGCTAGATACGATCTCGCCCGATATTCCCCAATCGGGTATCTACCCCCGGGAACAGACCTGATTCCATCCCCAGATGCTCGTCTCCGTCTCCATGCGCATCGGCCTAAGACCGGGCAAATAGCAACCCAGAAGAAAGCATGGAGTCAGCAACGAGCGTCCGAGTTCGTATCTTTCTACCGAGCGGGTTTGGAAAAGTGTGTCTGTGGATGGAGGCAAATCCAGGAGAGTTGCCGGTGGCCCTATAAGCATCGCACTAACCGATTTGGGTAGTGGTTTGCGAAATGTCAGTCTGTGATTTCGGTTGATGGTGTTTCCCCGTTCCGTTCCTTTCTCCCATCTGCTGGTTTGTCCAGTGGAATCCCTTGCTTTTAAATCATCTTGCTGGGACATGTACCACGAGAAGTATATATCGTCTGCTTCCGCTGCAATGGTAACCGGACCATTCATCTTTGCGTGGATGCCAGTGTTGTCGAAGGAGGAGAATATGTACAGGTGAGTACGGCATTTTGATCGCAGTGAAATTAGGAGGGAATAGGTGAGAGGTATATTAACGACAAGAAGGACAAAACAGGCAATAGGTTGAGGCAGTTGCCTCACCCATCGGGGTATAAGGTCAATGATCATCAAGTCTCATAGCACGGTATCATGGCTTCATCCGACGTTGCTCATCGCACAGCAGCAAGATGTCCAGTCATCGGTGCTGTGTCAAGTATGTCGGTACTGGACACATCCGGGCTGTCCATGCACAAGACGGAAGCCAGCCGGTAGCCCATGGTCGAACCAACACACTCCAGAGCTCGCCGGCAAAGAGTCAGTTGTTCCGCGGTCGCAAGCCGGCAGTTGACCACCACCCACATCGGCCAAAGGAGCGTGTACCCATTCGCCAACTTGCTGTTGGGATGCAACTTGAACTCATTTGTCGGGGTGACATGTCCGAGGGTGTAAGATACAGTGCTGCAAATCACTTCGATCAAGCTTTTGATCCGATTGCCTAAGCCACTGAAGGTTTCTGCAGGGAGATTCTCAAGATGGTCATCATCGATCGCAAACATCACGGAGGCGAACTTGTCAGAACACTCTAGGACGTGCAGGAAAAAGAATATCTGGGCGGCCTGGACGACGGCCAAAAAGCAAGGCGTCCATGGGTCTCGCGAGGCGGCTTGCTCCGCCTGGTTCATACCGTCCACGGTCGGAACAGAGAGCTGGTGCTTCCAATGTTTAGGGACTGCTTCGTCCCAAATGCTGATCTGCTCCATGATGAAATACGCCCTCCCTAGCAGGGAATGAAGCCTCCTGGCACTGGTCCCGAGTGTTTCGTACTGTTCGGTTCTTCGGAACTCGCTAGCCGACTGACAAAACTCGGATATCATACTGGTGATGATACCTGAGCGTAGCACGTAATCAGGATTGTATACCATGTTAATGGACGCTGGCAGGCACGCATATGAAAATTGATTGCTGGCGATCGCTTGTATTTGCTACAACAGAGACCGGGTCAACAACTAGTTCCCTGGGTACATGGGGGAACTTACGATTTGCGTGAATGCCCAACCAAATAATTTGCGAGCATACTTGCTACTGCGCTCTGGCCGGCCCCGAAGATGCATGAGAGAGCAGATTCCAGGAACGTGAGGATTAACCTCACCCTGTCTCTCACCACTCAGGTCCTATCGTCAATCAGCAAAGACTCAGAGCTCTTCCATGAGGCAGTCAGACTTACCATGAACATGCTCAAGAACAGCGCGGCCGCAAAAGTCTCATCTTGACCCGATGTCTCCTTGTTGCTGAGCGCTGCTGTCAACGACTTCAAGGCCATGCCATAGTGTTTTCTAGCGTTGACATAAAGCTCATTGACTCGGGCGGTATTGAACAGCGAAAGGTAGGACACGCTGAGAATAGCATTTCTTAAGCAAGGATCGCTGCCTTTCTCTTGGTACAGCTCGGGAAGGAACTCCAAATGTCCTTCACAGGGAGACCTTTGGGTAGGCATGACATGCTGGTGAAAGAAGTAGCAAAGCGACTGCCACTCCAGGCATGGGGTGATGGCAGCCGGAGGACTAGGTTGTGGGGGTGAAGAGTTCCTGAGCACTAGACGTGTGTCCGTCGATTCCTGTTCTAAGACTGTCTGTGATGGTATCCTCGGGCTGCTTGTAGACTGGTCATTCTCCGCTGATTTTTTCCCTCGTTTCCGAGTTGTGATCTTCCCCGCCTGTGGTTGCAATTTGTATGCACGGAAGGCAAATGCATCTGGATACCCCGTGCATTCTCTGTGTTGGGTGATGCAGCGACGACATGCTGGGCGAGCCCCGTCACACTATCCAGATGATCAACTACTATACCGAGTGACAGGCTAGGTGTCTCGAGCAGTTACAGAACATACCTTGACTTTACGCCTACGGCATACGTAGCACCCGGTGCTAAGCCTTCCAGGGAAGACCATGGGGGCAGCGGCGGAGCGGGAAGGAGGTATCGAATATGGTAGGCAAGGATGGCTGCAGGTCAGCTCGGAGAAAAAAGACGGTGGTCTAGAAGGGGCAGTGCTTGCGAATGGATGAGTCTGATGATCCCGGTGAAAAGAGAAGACGGAGATTCCATGGCGTTTAGCTGGAGAGGGGAACACCGACCCTCTCTCCGCCACCAATCGGGGGTCGCGCGGGATTGGTCCTCCGTCCCGATCACGTGTGTGGCCTAGCGTGGCGGGGCATTCGCAAGCCTCGACCCGAAACAATAATGCCAAGACCTCTCGGCAGTTCTACCACAGTACAAGTGGGAGTGTGGGACCTTTCTTTTTCTTGGCTTCCATTAAAGACACACAGTTCCAAGAAATGCAAGTAGGCCAATTGACTAGCATTCTCAATGATTCTTGGTTGGAATTGTGGACAGAAGCAGCAGGCGCAAAGCAAGTGGAATCGCAAATCGCAATAGTGAGAACTGAGTTTCATCTTACTAGTTGAGACGGATTTGGTTTGATAGAATAAGGCCGCTCTCTCCGGTGTCTTGGCATAGAACGGCTTTTGTTTTGACGCGTGTCCGACGCAGCCCGATTATCCTATGTGTCAGTAAGTTTGGGGGATAAATACCGATGAAACAGAGTAAGTGAAAAGGCAATGGGAAACATGGGATGCTGCAAGACAATTGGAACGACATATGATGGCTTGGAATCACTGTTCCCTTCTTGTGCACAACTACAGCCCATGTTCATAGACCACTCCCAGTATTAAGAAATCTGCCAAGATTATATCTATATAAACGACCATTAAATATTTGATTGAGTCTAACTCCAAAGTCCAAAAACCACTCTACTCGGCGACAGATCCAGGCACCCTAGTACATGAGTCTACAGTGTACTTGCTAATCTTGGAAGTGAGGTGTACCCAACAACTGCATGACCATGTGACACTAGATTAATAGAGCTAATCCGGTATTTTGTCCAGGTGCTTCCTGTCTTTGGTCAAGCTCCTATCGATAAGTATTCCATCTGGATGTAGCAGAGATGGTTCATGCGCTATCCGATACCAGACGCATCGAGGAACTTATCTGAGATCACAGGCCGGTGCAGTAGTATTGTCTTCGATAGTTTCAATAAAGCTGCACGCGAATCAGATTGATCAGATCACCCATTGTCAAGGGCCTAACCCGTCACCTCGTGTTGATGGCCGGGCTCTTTCGGCTTCTCCACCAGTCATTGTCGCAGGATATGCAGGTGCCAGCTTCGAACAGAACCCTCATTTGGAGGGCCTAGAGTGGAGTAAGTCCTAGATCCATCGTGGATAGCAGTCAGCAGTTAGGTAGCACACGGCTTAAGAGGCTGGGTGCGGGTACGGTGCTGAAAATCAAACCTCCGCTCCGGGTTCGTGGTGAAATGGGGACACTGTGCGCTGCTCTCCAACCATAACTGCATATATTGGCACTCGTACACAGTAGGTACGGAGTAGAGATGCTGGCCCTCAAGGGGAAATGTTTCGGCGCGCCGTGCTACGGATGGCGGCAGCAGCCCGAGGCGCAGGGGTCTCCTCCGTCCCTCCGCCGAGTCCATCCTTCCTCTCGCCATCTCGCCGTCATTCAGAGACGCAATCATCTTGAATAAGCTTCACGGAGTCAAAATGGAGGCGCAACTTCCTTGCAACCACATGCGGACGGAGCCAACGGTCTCATAAAGTTGATTCCATGGGGTAACTACGCGGGATCCCCGCTGCTCACAAAGCTACCCGCTTCATCATGCAGGGTATCCACATCACCTTGTTTCCATTCACATTAAGCTGTGCAGAGCATTGTCGCTGACTCTGGTGGCACTGCTAGATCCTCTCTCTATCGGCATCGGCATATCTCCCAATCGTATGTGCGCCGGCACACTGCTCGAAGCATGTGTCAGAGGATCAAATCCCTTCGGTGAATCACACGGATGGCACAATCTGGAGGTAATGGGAAGCGCTTTACAACCGATGACGAGACCACAGAAGTGATCATTTCGGCTTGATAAGGACATCCAATACTAGCAGTCATCACGTTAGCAGAGGTATCCCCGAGGATGTGTGGATCGTGCCAAGGGCTCTTGGGAAGACACGGAGTCTCACTCTCCACGAGTACCGTGTATTCGGTCTTGAAAGCAGTTTGAAGCGAACATCCCATAAAAGCGACGAGTCATACTCATCCCATCATCATCTAGCCGTCGGCCTCTTCTCGGCCCTTTCTTCGATACCACGCGATACCGGCAGATGCCCCTGCGAAGTCTGCCCTAGCGAGGAAGGGGTACACAGTGGGATTGAAGCCATGCTTCTGGAAGCTGTGTCCTTCCAACATAGATCCGGGACTTTAGCGTGCATGGCCCGGAGTTCGACATCGGGGAGGAAATGACGTCATAAACAACAGAACCTACACTCCATGATGAGAACGTCTGGTTCATGATAATTGATCTAAGGTAGGATGGCTCTCACAATCCATGGGCACCATTCCCGAGGGCTTCAATGCAGGAGGAGTATCTATATCTGAGCAAACCGGATCTGTCAGGTTTGCCTCTTGCTGCGTCATGGGCAGCTCCAGATGATTGACCAAACAGCGCTCGTTGCTTTGTCCTCGGTCGCTGGGCGGGTTACCGGTTGAGGAAGCCCGATAAGCGCACGAACCGCTAATTGGCGCAACCGTTCATTGCCCGCGCATTTTGGCCCAGCTGTTCTGACTCTGGGCGCCTGATGGCGTGATTTGCTTGATTCCATCCTTGTATATACCTGCCAGGATTGATAGGATTCTAATATCTGGGGGTAATATTTCGGAGGAACCCTAAGGCTGGATTGCGGGGCTTACCCCAATTGCATGCCCCTCAATGTGACGTGCGGTTTTATGGTGGATCGTGGACTGCGGCAAACTGTACCAGGAGCTTCAAGCATTCTCATTGATTGTCTCGGAAGTGCCCCACGCTGATCGATCGATTTCAGAGCAGTACCCCGCTGCTACTGGAAACATTTCCTCGGATGCCCCTATATTCATGACGTCGTGCCACAGTGGCCTTCTTGGAGCATTGCACTCAATCCTTCCAGTTGAGACGGTGAGAGTATCCTTTAAGAAGGGGATTCGCAATCCCGATGTCTCCGCATCTGCTTGGATCAATACACCCCCGTCCCTTGTACTGAGGCGCTCTGTTCTGGTATGGGATTACTCGATCAGAACCGCGCTTCAGTCTTGCTCACGTCCTGGCCGTCGCTTTGCCTAAGCTGCACTTATGACCCCGACAACGGCAGCGTTTCCTCAGCACCCGAGAAAAGTCCTCCAGCATGGCCACCGACGACTCTTCAACCAAGCTTTCGGAATCGGATCCCGAGAAACCCAAAACATTCGGCCAAGGAAGGAGCTCAAGTCCTGCTTGTCAACCGGAGAATACACATGCAGAGCATGCCACGCAGTCGGACGCTGATAGTGAACTTCGAGGAAGGTTCCATGGCCCCGACAAACGAGAATTGACCGAAGACGACTGTTACGAGAAGCTGGGCTTCTGTTTCCCTTGGTACAAGAAGTGGTCGATTATTACCGTTATCTTCGTTGTACAAATGTCCATGAATTTCAACAGCAGTACCTTCTCCAACGCCGTTCCGCAATTATCAGAGCACTTTCGGATTAGTGAACAGGCCGCTCGGGTGGGCCAAATGATCTTCCTCGTCACATACGCCTTTGGCTGCGAACTCTGGGCCCCATGGAGTGAGGAATTTGGTCGCTGGCCCATTATGCAACTCAGTCTCCTGCTCGTCAATATCTGGCAGATACCTTGTGCACTGGCTCCTAATTTTGGGACCATGGTCGTTTGTCGTGGTCTTGGTGGACTGAGTTCAGCAGGTGGCTCGGTCACTCTCGGAATGACTGCGGATATGTGGGAGCCTGATGATCAAGGCTTTGCCGTAGCTTACGTGGTCCTGTCTTCTGTCGGAGGGACTACCATTGGACCGATCTTTGGTGGCATGATGCAGCAATGGCTGAAGTGGCGATGGAACTTTTGGATCCAACTCATGTTCGGTGGTGTTACCCAAATTCTTCATTTCTTCCTTGTCACCGAGACGCGATCCACGATTCTCCTGGACCGGGAGGCCAAACGCCGACGAAGGACGAAAGAGGAGCCTGATGTATATGGTCCGAACGAGCTAAAGCCGTCCCGATTTAACATCAAGGAGGTTTTGCGTGTCTGGCGCCGACCATTTGAAATGTTCCTCCGGGAACCTATCGTGCTCTTTCTTTCGTTGCTCTCTGGCTTTTCAGACGCGCTCATCTTCACCTGCATTGAGTCCTTTTCGTTGGTCTTTGCCCAGTGGGGTTTTGATGCGCTCCAGATCGGGTTATGCTTCATTTCTATTCTGATCGGTTACTTGGTTGCCTACGTGATATTCCTACCGGACATCTATCGCCAACGACAGGTGAGGCGCCGGGAAGGGAATGCCTCTCGGGTGGCCGAACGGCGCCTCCTGCTCCTACTTTTCATCGCCCCGCTTGAAACGATCGGCCTATTTGGCTTCGCCTGGACCACGATGGGACCAGAATACACGCACTGGATTGTGCCTTTGGTGTTTGCGTTTTTGATCGCGATTGCCAATTACGGGATTTACATGGCGACGATCGACTACATGGTTGCCGCGTATGGGGAATACTCCGCGTCGGCGACAGGAGGCAATGGGTTTGCGCGAGATCTGCTGGCGGGATTGTCGGCCATGTACGCGACACCGATGTACATAAATATCGGTGGTCGCTTTCATCTACAATGGGCGAGTACAATCCTTGGCTGCTTGGCCATTCTGGTAACGATTCCCATCTACGTCTTCTATTGGAAGGGCCCTGAGATCCGGGCGAACAGCAAGTTCGCGCAAACACTCGAGGCAGACCGGGAGCGGCACGCGGCAGTCCGTCGGGCCAGTCAAATGAGCGTTTCACGGAAGGCGTCCATGGCCTAGTGCTGAGTTGCGCCAGTGTCCATTTCCGTACTTCAGATGTCCGGAGAATTCTTGCGGAGACTTACCTGATGGTATGCGTAGATACCCGTGTCTTTCTGCTGATCCGAACGGTTGTACAAGGGCCGTGTCACGGCTCAAAGGAATGATCAATGACTGTTTTGCACAGTTGAGGGTTACCCTGCTCGTAGTCACGGGGTAGCTACGATTCCAAGACGCCTTTGGGTGGGTCGACAATATCAGGCGCTCAGTCAAGCGTAAACCCCTCATCCCTCACGGATTGTTTCCCTTCTATGGATTAGTATCATTGTCATGCACCGCCAATCTATTTGGCCTCGAGCATGCTACGCCGCCAGGGTGCCTGAGTCTTAGACACCTCGTATCCGAATGCAACAATCCATCGCTGCCTACCAATACTACCATGTCGCCTAGAAGGACCTGCGAGTCTAAGCACATCTCACAGTGGCCTGAGATTCCGACTTCCCCGCGAGCCTCAGCTGCTTGACTCTCCGCATACAGATGGTTGGTTGATATCATCGGTTAACACCCTAGACGATAAGAAGTGGATGCTGTTTGTACGACGAGAGCACCCGCCAGCTTCTCCGCACTATCGACGCCACCAAGAGGGGGTGTTGATCTCACGTCATCGCAAGACAGAATCTTGTCTTGACTGTTGTTCATCGCATACACTGTGAATGCTTTATGATTGTTGCTTATTGAACAGTTTTAAACAGTCAATAATTGTTGGGTCCAGAAGATGTCATGGCGTTGTGCCTGGCCCGTTGTTGGCAGTTCCCCGCGTTATCGCCATGCCAGAGGTCAACACTAATGATCCTCACCCACACTAAAAGGTGTGGCGCTATCATTGCGATGACACACATGAGACTAGTTCCGCCATTGGTTATGTTCCACATGGTAGGTCAGGCAATCCGACAGGCACATGCTATGGAGAAATCAAAGGGTCTGGGCATGCAAGCTCACCGACTATCGAAAGCTAGTTCGAGCTCGGACTAGGGCTACAAAACCTCTCCAGTCAGCACTCTGTGCTTGTGAGACATACTGCCTCTTCCCGGTCCGAGGAATCCGGTCTGGACGCCTGAGCTAATTCCAGGCCGTCCGAATGGTTGCCGTTGACTCGCCAAGCTCTCAGCCTTGTCCTACTGAAGAGCTGAAGATGAATTACCAAAATAGCACAGCAGCCTAGGAGGCATCATTCATCAGAAATACCCGGTCGATACCCGACAGGGAATGGTTCTACGGATAGGGACAACTTCGCCGGCGACAAGGTCACGATGGATGCTCGTCACCAGGTGACACTCGGAGATACCTGGTTACGCGATTTACCCGACCATCTGTTGAGACAGCCGGCAGACTAGCACTCGCGATACGACATCACAAGCCGGGATGCTAGCTTTTCCCATCACAATCAGACACCAGATGGCCGGCCTAGCAGTCATGCCACTGAATCCGCCTCGTCGAATATATAAGGAACCAGAACCCCCATCCAACTCATCCTGCATCCAACCATCAATCATCCAGTTGCCTTTCAATCTTGAGCAACATGCATCTCGCACGCCTCACCATTTTCGCTCTTGTCTCCCACCTCGCGGCGGCAGTGCTCCCCCGTGACGACACTCCAACCACCCTCGTCGCGGTGCCCTCTGCTGTCGTCGCGGATGCTGTGGCCACGCCCTCCCCGATCCAGCCGGGCATGACCAGCAACTGCAACTCGTTCCACCTGGTGGCCAGCGGAGAAACCTGCGCCACCATTGCCACCAGCGCGGGCATCACTCTGGCCAACTTTTACTCTTGGAACCCAAGTGTCGGGACCGGCTGCAATACCCTCTGGCTGGGATACTATGTCTGCACGGGGGTGAGTGCCACCACCACCAGTGTTCCTACGACTACCACTGCCACCACCACTGCCACCACCACTCGCACCACGAGCGTGGCGACCCCGTCGCCGACGCAGTCGGGGATGGTGAGTAACTGTGACGCATTCTACCTGGTAGCGTCCGGCGATACATGCACGACGGTTGCGCAGAAGAAGGCAGTGTCAGTGACGGATATTGTGTCGTGGAACCCGGGTGTTGGGACTGGTTGCACGAACTTGTGGTTGGGATATTATATTTGTGTGGGGGTTTACTAGTGATGCAGCAGAGCGTATTGGGGATGATTATGGGATGAGATATGCTATCAGTGTTAGTGGGACTACTGGTGGTTTTAGGGATCATTTGGCTTTCAGTATGACATGTTGATAGGTCATTCATTAGTCTGTGACGCGTTGAGTTGAAGCAACTGTTGAATACTAGTCCCGTAAGTGGTATGTTCACCTCGAGCAGACGCTAATTTCTCTGGCGTAACAGTAAACCTACAGCTCTCCATTGAACGTATGCCCTCTAGACAGTCCCTATAGCAGCTAGTAGAACTGTAATCTTAGGTGAAGAGTTTTCGATGTGACGCTAAGTACTATATATTGCGACCAGCTTGACCCCAGGATGAGAGAGTTGATGCATCAACACTGCTATCTGATTGTTACCTAATATCTCGCATCGTGACTTTAGTCTCATCTATCCACCCGCTATCTCGCAGATAGTTCCGACCGGTGTTCATTTACCTGGTGCATTGAGTGCATTAAGCAACTCCACTAGGCCCATTCATTCCGCGACCAGCCGGAGTGCGGAAACATCATTCCGAAATGCCGCGCACACCAGGTGGCCAATGCAGACCCGCGGATTGCCGCTGATTTCTCGAGTGCGGGGAAGTCCAACCAACTGCACGCTCATTGCTCACCGGTCGGAAATGGGGCCGTGGATGACGACGGACTGGCCCGGCTGGTGGCTGCCTCCACTCGGCCACCGCGATAACACCGCCATGATCGCCAACCGAGGGTCGCTGGCAGATGGGACTTAAAAGGTCCCTGAGCGCCGGCATTCCTGGCCGACTGCTTGACAACTCGTATCCCAACATGGCCTTTCAGACTGTTCTTCTGGCCGCCGTGGCCGTGGTCTACTTCATCATTCGTTATCTCAACCGCACCGATGTCCCTAAAATCAAAGGCATTCCTGAAATCCCCGGTGTGCCTCTCTTCGGCAACCTCTTACAACTGGGCGAGCGTCATGCTGTTGTCGCACGCAAATGGGCGAAACAATTCGGCCCTGTCTTCCAAGTGCGCATGGGAAATAAGGTGAGTGAATCCTCTCCAACGGGGGAATATTCTGACCGATCAGCGCGTCGTGTTCGCCAACAGCTTCGATTCGGTCCGTCAGCTCTGGATCAAAGACCAGAGCGCTTTGATCTCGCGCCCCACCTTTCACACTTTCCACAGCGTCGTGTCTACCTCCCAGGGCTTCACCATTGGGACCTCGCCATGGGATGAGTCCTGCAAGCGCCGACGCAAGGCCGCCGCCACAGCCCTGAACCGACCCGCCGTCCAATCGTACATGCCGATCATCGATCTCGAATGCACCGCCAGCATCAAGGAGTTGTTCAAGGATAGTCAGAACGGGTCGGTGGATATCAACCCGAAGGCTTATTTTCAGCGGTTTGCGTTGAATACCAGTCTGACTCTGAACTACGGCTTCCGCATCGAGGGCAATGTCGACGATCAACTGCTGCACGAGATTGTCAATGTCGAACGTGGTGTCGCCAATTTCCGAAGCACCAGCAACAACTGGCAGGATTATATCCCGTTACTGCGTATCCTGCCCAAGCAGAACCGCGAGGCCGGGGAGTTCCGTGTGCGTCGGGATAATTATTTGAGCTTTTTACTGGACATTCTCAAAGAGCGTATTGCCAAGGGGACCGATAAGCCCTGCATTACTGGTAACATTCTGAAGGATCCGGAAGCCAAGCTGAACGAGGGTAATCCCATCCCAACCCTTATTTCACAATCGATTATCTCTGATACGATGTGTAGCTGAAATCAAATCCATCTGCGTCACCATGGTCTCCGCCGGTCTGGACACCGTCCCCGGCAACTTGGTCATGGGGATCGCCTACCTCGCCTCCGAAGACGGTCAACGCATCCAGCAAAAGGCCTACGACGAGATCATGAAGGTATACCCGGATGGCGACGCATGGGAGAAGTGTCTCGTGGAAGAGAAAGTGCCCTACGTGTCTGCTCTGGTCCGCGAAACCCTCCGCTTCTGGACCGTCATTCCCATCTGTCTTCCCCGCGAAAGTACCAAGGATATCGAATACAATGGGGCGACGATTCCCACTGGAACTACCTTTTTCATGGTACCCACCCACCCTCTTCTCTTCCCCCCTTGCATACATACTAACACATGGTAAACAGAACGCCTGGGCCGCCGACTACGACGAAGACCATTTCCAACTCCCTGACAAATTCATTCCCGAACGGTACCTCGATATCGGAGAGGGATCGGGCACCCCGCATTACGGGTATGGTGCTGGATCGCGCATGTGTGCTGGCTCGCATCTGGCGAACCGGGAGCTGTTCACGGCGTATGTCCGGTTGATTACGGCGTTTACGATGCATCCGTCCCGGGATGAGGCTGATCGACCGATCCTGGATGCGATTCATTGTAATGAGATTGCGACGGGGTTGACGACGGAGCCGAAGCCGTTCAAGGTGGGGTTTAAGCCGAGGGATCCGGTGAGTTTGCAGAGGTGGATTGAGGAGAGTGATGAGCGGACGAAGGATTTGTAGATATACCAGGGGTTATGATGCTATGATGGTGCTTTGTATATATGATTATTTCGAGGTAGATGGTAGGAAGCTAGAATTCCACTCTTTCACTACCTGATTAAGAGAGAGAGAGAGATAGGTAACACCATGTAACCCTGTACACAGTACAAGGACACGTATCTCCACCACAAACCTCCCTACCTACCAACATAGCAGTAACCCCAAGAAACCCGGCTAAACACATCCCCATCCCATCCCATCCCATCTCCATCCCCATCTCAACTCCAATCCCACCAACAAACCAACCAATGAAATTAAGCCATTAACGAACCACTAGATACTAACCAACTACCCAACCCAATGAAATACACAGTAACTAAAAAGTAAGTGGAGAAGCGGAAGAACCCCGCCCTACCGCCCGCCGATCGCTTCACCGCCGCCGCCAACCGACCATCCAATTAACGAAGAATCCAATGATTCCCATCCATCCATCCATTCCATCTCCTCATGTCATGTTCTCTCTCCACACTACAAACTACTGACTTTCCTCACAATCAATCACAATGAACCACCCCGACCCGGACCAAGAAATCGACCCGGATCCAGATATATGGGATAACCCCCTCGACAACAATGATGCAATAAACACGAATACCCGGGAAAATGCCCCGCGCAAACGAAGGAGGAAATATATCGCCAAGGCTTGGTATAACCTACCCTGACCCTTGTCTACTGGCATTCTACATAACGATTGAAAAGGAGATGGGTACTGACTGATATGATGGAAAAAGTAACGAATGCAAACGCCGCAAAATCAAATGTAACGGACAATCGCCCTGTCAGCGATGCGGGAGACAAAGGGTGGGGTGTGTGTATGAGAATCAGCCCAGGGGTGTGATAGATGGTGGGGGGGATCAGTATGTTTTTCATTTATCTATGGTATTGGTATTGGTATTGGTATTGGTATTAACGAAACTAGAGAATCCATGGCTCTTCTCCTCCAACAAATGAGCGCCATGCAGGAGCAAATCACTACTCTTACTACGGCTGTGCATGCCTTGACGCAGAGTGGTCTTTCTGTGTCTACTGGTATAGGAATAGGGCTAGGGAGCCGATCTGATGGGGCATTCCGACGACGAGCATCCATGAAAGATAAAGACAAAATGAAAGAAAAAGAAGTGGTTTTTCAAGGCCCGACTACTTCGGCGTTTAGTCTTGATCTCGCCAAATCGAGTCTCCAGAGGCGAGGGATCATTGAGAATATTGACGCAGATGGTCCCGAAGACGGGGACTTAACACGCGCGCCATCGCCATCGCCAATCCCGTCACGACATCCAGGGGATCCATTATGGACGATTGGCAAATCCGAAGCGTTGAGGTTGTGTCGGGTGTATGAGGAGGAAATGGGGATCATGTACCCCGTGTTGGATCTACAGCTATTATTGCAGCAAGTGGAGATATTGTATGGTGGAGAGACGTGGCCACGTATGTCAGCGGGAAACGGAAATGGGCTGGATGCCGACGATGTGCATATTCTGCGCTTGGTGTTTGCGTGTGCCTTGACGGCCGAAGCAGCAGGGAGTAGTGCCCTGGCTATGGGGTTATTTGAGAGCGTGCGTGAAGTAGCGGATATTTGTGTATGGGGGGCTGCGGAGATTAAGAATATTATCTTTTTGACGTTGGTGGTGAGTCACATACCTACCTACCTACCCCTGGGTCTTGGGATGAGCTAATGGGATGATATAGGCAATATTCTACTTCCAAATCGACGAAGAAACCCTCGCCTGGCGCACCATCGGCATCGTCGAACGCATGTGTCTCGAAAAAGGCCTGCATCGACGCGAAACACTCACCCACCCCTCCATAGCCAAAGCAGGAAAAGACCGTGTCCTCCGACTCTTCTGGTCCATCTACATCCTCGATATCCGATGGAGTTTCGGCACCGGCATGCCCTTCTCGCTCGAAGACAGCGACATCGATCCGTGGCTGCCCGAACCAGAGGAAAAAACACCCTATCTGCACGTCATGATCCGGTACAGTCGAATCGCCGCCAAAGTATGGAAATTCATCTCGGCATTTAACAACACCAACGAGATCAAAAAAGAAGAGATGAATTACCTCGACTGGCAAGTCCAGCGCTGGACAGCGGATATCCCATCTGTGCTACGACTCGATTCTCCCATCGTCGAACTAGATGGCCAAGCCCCCCGGAGTCTGCGTCGTCTGCGTGCTCTGCTCTACCTCCGCGCGAACCAGCTCCGCATGCTCATCCATCGCCCGGTGCTGCACTCGGCGGCGCATATCGCGCGGTACCCCGTCGAGTCGCAGACGGTGGTGGAGCTAGCGAAAGGGTCTATTCGGTTTATTACCCGGTTGAATGAGAAAACGGACATATACCGTCTGCAGCAGATAACCTTCAACTGGTTCTTGGTGTCGGCTGTCGCGGTGGTGTTTCTGGCTGTGACGCAGGCTCCGACGACTTTTAGTACCCAGTGCAAGGAGGAGTTTTATATGGCGTTGGAATTGGTCAAGGGGTTTTCGACGAGGTCGTATATCTCGTTGCGTTTGTGGAAGTCGATTCGGAGTTTGAGGAAACTGGGTCCGCAGTTGATGCATCGCGAGCCGGAGATAGTACAGGGACCGGGGACGGAGATAGCACCGAGTCTATCCACAGGCACGGAGCAGTCGCCGCTGGACGGGGCGCAGATGACCCGCGAGCTGATGGAGTGGTTCGAGGCGGTGGGGAATCTGGAAACGCAGATCATGGGCATGGCGCCGCAGGGGTTCGAGGAGTGGCAGCGGTATGATTATGGGGAAGAGTTGTCGAGTGTCATGAAGGATTGTTTCTGATGCCACTGGCCTATGCCATTCAGATGATGAATAATTGGCTGTGATATTAGATCCGATCCAGTGTAATACCCTCATAAGAGTGATACTGTCACACCAGTGTATCCCCACCCTATCCAAACAAACGATCTATTCAAATCCATTATCCAAACTCCAAACTCCATCACCTGTACAAAACCCCTTCCCTATTCCTGTCAATTGAAATAAGCAAGAAATAGCCCTTTTTAACCCCCACAACCCAACCCAACCAAAGAAACCCAACACACTGACATCCCCCAAACAAATCCATCTTACCATCCACCCCTCCCCCCACCACCACCACCAAACCCTCCCCTCCCACCATGCCCCCCATGATGTCCCCCAAACCCACCCCCCGGACCTCCATGATGTCCCCCGAGCCCACCCCCCGGACCCCCAAATCCACCTCCAGGCGGCCCCCCATGATGTCCTCCTCCGTGATGTCCACCAAACGATTGCATTGGCATTCCACCCCCTCCGCCACCGTGATGTGGTCTCGGGGGTGGATAGCCGCCGCCCATGCCGCCGCCCATATTAGGGTATCGGTTCCGGTGGGAGGAGAAACAGGAGCCCATTTTGGTTTTTCTTCGGTTGGTATGGTTGGTTGTGGGGTTTGTGATTCGTGATTATAGATGGGTTGTAGATGTTGGAAGAATCCTATTGTAGATGATGGTTTGAATGGCGAGTGGTGTATAGATATGTTAGGTAAGGTAAGGATGGAATTGATGATGGCTTGGGTATATGAAATATGTTAAAAAAAGCCAAAGTATAGGTAGGTAGGTATAAACGTGTGAAGAAAAGGTCCGGAGAGTTAGCATAGGGCAGACAAGGGAGAAGGAATATAAGCCCCGTCACGGTGTGTCGTGTCATGGCGTCATGTTCTCGGCGGGAGGGTGGGTGGGTGGGTGATGTAACCTTACTTTACCTACTTACAGTTACGGTTCCCCCCCTTGCAAAGTGCAACTTCAGTTGTTCCATTCCTTGGTTTTTGGGAATTACCCCTTACGATGAACCGAATTCATAGGTGGAAAATACAATAGCCTAGAGCAAAAAAGAAAAGATAAAAATGAATAATATAAAAATTTCCCTATATTCAATAATATCCGAACCCAGCCACAAAGAACCAAAAAAAGGAGTAGGTAGTAGGTAAAAATCTAAGAATGATACCGAAACTCCACCTCCGCGTCCCCCGTCCGCACCCGTCGATCATCCTCCTTCGAACCCGCCAAAATCTCCTCTTTCTTGGCATTCTCCCGTCGTAAATACACCGCGTGCAGAGCCACCACCACCTGCGCGACCACCAACGAACCCAGACTAAACCCGTTCCCTAGAACATATGGCGAAGTGCGATACACTTGTCCGGCGACGATCCCCGCGCAGTTCCCGATGGTTTGTTGGAGGCCGATGGCCAGCGCGCGACGGTATTGTGGCGCCACGTTGACGTTCAGCCATGCGACGTTTAGACCCACGCCCGTGTAGACGGCGATGCCGCAGAGGTAAGTCGCGAAGTATTTTACGGCGTTGGAGGAGACGGATAATAGCAGGATGTAGCCGATTATGCCGAAGATGTTGGTTACGAGGATGAACTGGATGTATTGTTAGTATACTGTCATAAGGATAATGGGAGAGTGGGGGATGAAGGGTGGGGGGGGGACATACGATTGAAAACCTCTCCCATCTATCGGCACAAACTGCCACCGCGATGAATACCACCGCGGCCCAGATATATACCGGGACGGTGAGCACATTACTCATCAGACTATTATATCCCAGACTTTCCAAGATAGTAGGGAGGAAAGTACTGAATCCGTAGAGGAGAATATCCTGACAGAACTGCGTCACGGCGCTGAAGAATAACTTCGGGTCACGGAGCGCAATCCGCATCTCCTCCATGTTGAATTCCTCACTGCCCATGTATTTCCGCCGTTGTTCGTTGCGGATCCGCATCATGTATTTTTCTTCTTCGCTGAGAAAGTAGGCGTTGCTGGGGTCGTTGGGGAGACCGAACCAGATGAGAATGGCGCAGATCAAGCTGAAGATGCCTTCGATTATGTAGACCCATCTTTTTGTTTTGAATTTAGGGTTAGTATGGGGTGTGCTTCGGGGAGGAAAGGAGGGAGGTACCTCCAACCGGCTTTTCCACCAATGCCGTCCATTTGTAGCAGACCGTAGGCGAGAAGACCGCCCACGGCACCCGAAATGGCCGCGCAGCTCATTAGGTAGGATACTCGTTTGGCTTGTTCTTCGCGACGGTAGACCATCGTCAGGTATAGGTTCAGACATGGGAAGAGACCCGCTTCGCAGCCGCCGAGGATCAATCGCGTGGCGTACAGTGAGGCCACATTATGGATGAACCCCGTGAACACGGTGGTGATGGACCAAATGATGCAGAGGCCGGTGAGGATGTTGCGGGGGGTGAGTCGCTTCATGGCTACCGCCCACGGGGCTTCAAGGAGTACGTAGGTGGCGTAGAAGATGGAAACCGCGGTGGAGTATTCGCTGTCGGATGCGCCGATGTCTGTGGGCATGCCGGCTACTTTGACGTTTCCTGCAGTTGTTAGATTATATCATGATAGGAGGGGTATAAGCATACCGATATTGCTACGATCGAGGAAACATGACAGATAGGTCAACATGATGATCGGCACAAAAGCCATATCTAGCTTCATGAGAAGCTTCTTCTCCTTGGCTGGGTCAAGTACGACATCGTCGATATCGCCAATGGCCGTCTCCTCAGGCACCTTCTGGTCGAGGGACTTGCGGACTGAGTCCTTGCGCTCGAGGGTATCCATGTGGTCGGCCATGATGCACGAGACTGGTATCAGGACAGTCTACTCCGGAGAACAAGAGGAGATCCGGGGTTATTAACCTGGCGACCCAGGCCAGGCAGCGGGGTGATAACAGCATCCACCGGTGCTATCTCTGGCTGCACTCCCACCGCACGGAGGTTGTCCGTGATGCAGCATCGGGCCGATGGACTGATAAGCAGCCGTCGTAGCTCGGAAAGGTATCTGACGAGCTGGTTTCATTGGTGGCTAGGGCCTCCTGGGCTGCGCTTATCATTCTGGTGGCCGTCCACCCCGGACATCGGAGCCCACATGCCGATAAGTATGGGGTAGAGCTGATAGGCTATCACTATAGTCATCATTATATATGATAACCTGCACACTGCCCTGTTTGCCATGATGCAATGCAATGTCCAACAGCTAACAGAAAAGCATGACCATATCAGATCCCTCCACCCTGACCAGCCAGCAAACCCGTCTGCTGGCCCGCCAAAACGCCATCACCAACACGGCCGGCTTCTCCCCGGGCACTCTTCAAGCAAATCTCCTCATCCTCCCCCAAAAGCATAGCCAGGACTTTCACAATCTCTGTCTCCGCAACCCAGTTGCCTGCCCCTTACTCGGCATCATTACCCCAGGAAACCCCTACCAGATCTTCCCATCACCATGCATCCAGAGCCCGGACTTTGATCTCCGTACCGACTGCCCTCTTTACCGGGTATACAAACATGGGAAATGCATCGCGGATAGAAAGCCCGACCTACTAGATGTCTGGCCATCTTCAGACGATAACCCCCAAGAGGAGAACTATACAGGCTTCCTCATCGGCTGCTCCTTCAGCTTCGAAGCTGCCCTCTGCGCCGCAAACCTAACCCCCAGACACCATCACACCTCCACCATCGTAGCCATGTACCGCACCTCCATCCCGCTGCTCCCCGCAGGAATCTTCACCAACGCTCACTGTATCGTGTCCATGAGACCCTACCGGGAGGAGGACGTCGAGCGGGTGCGGGAAATCACCCGACCTTACCTGGCCACGCATGGCGAGCCGGTGGATTGGGGGTGGGATGCAGTAAAACGTCTAGGAATCAAGGACATTGATTGTCCAGATTTTGGGGAACAGCAGGTATTCGAGGAGGGAGAGGTGCCCGTGTTTTGGGTAAGTAGACATTCTTTCTAGATAGCGGGCAGTAACCAATGGTATAGGCGTGCGGGGTTACGCCCCAGATGGCCATCGAGGCAGCAGGGGATAAGATTGACGGGCTGGTCTTTGCGCATGAGCCGGGGCATATGCTCGTGACCGATTGGAAAGTCGAGGACTTGGAGCGATTGAAGGGGGGTTGACTGCTTGCAAGGGATAATCGATGCGATACCTTGAGCATTCTATCACCACACCGTTCAACAGTTGACCAAGCAGCTGGTGCAAAGTTCTAAGCATCTATACGCGCAGCCAGATCTATAGTGGCTGCAATACTATTGATTTATATCCAGAATTCAGCAAAAACACATACCTAAGCCTCCAAAGCCTTGATAAAAGCCGGGCTCTCGTAGCCCTCCACCACCTTGGCGATAGGAATGAAGTGGGCCTCGGAGACGTCGTTTTGCAGCTGGCGGACATAATGCTGGGCCACCTTCAACCACAAGGCCTTTTCGCGTTGACTGGCCTCGGAGCCCTGCCAGACCCACAGTCGGCTGCCCACATCGTACAGGAAGATGTCGGTCGCAACCAAGTCGGATTGGTTGACCCGCTGACCATCCTTCACCAGGTCAAAAGACAGCGTTCCCGAGGCATCGCTGAGTCTAAAGAGCTTGCGCGACCGAGCATCTCCATCGGTCTGCTTGGAGAACCGCCCCGGTCGGGGGGCCTGGAATGTGGCCGGGTCAGCCTCCTTGCCGCCCAGCAGGTCCACCACCACCCGGGACCGCGACTCGAGTTGCGACAGCACCTCGACATCGATATGTTTGGCCAGAGTCATGTCATTGACCACCTGAGCAGCCTTGGCTTTTTCCATCGGGCTGCAGTTCTTGCCCTGCCAGACCCAAATCTTATCTCCCTTGTCCAAGACAAACACATCGTTCTCGTCCAGGCTCTGCCATGTGGGCTCAACCTCATGCACGATGATCGAGCGGGATACAGTGGGGTGCTTGAAGACGCGGAGGAGGGTGAAGATCTCCTTGGGGGCCTCCGGCTCGACGTGGGTGAAGCCGGAGCGAACACCGCCCGACCGGATGGCAATGTGGCGGAACAGCCCCAGGAATTCCTCCGAGGGCTCTTGTTGGATCTCGCGATGCTGCGTCGCAGTGCCATGCAGAAATTCATCCAGCTCGACCGTTTTATAGGCAGCCGTGCCCGCCTCGTCCTGGGTGGTCTTGCTGCCCAGCCAGAAGAAGATGTCGTGGCCCAGTTTGTCCCCCACCTTGTACGAGTGCAGCACGATGTAGCTGTCGCCGTCGTAGAATTCGCCCGCCCGTTCTTTCGGCCATGCGACGACCTCGAAATCCTCGATTCGCCAGATGTAGAGACCCGGCTCCTGGCCGATCTGTCCGTTGTTCCAGGCGGGCTCGGTGGCGGCGGAGTTGTACTTGACACGGTGGTCGAGGTCGGATCCGATCAATTCGACATTGCTGTCTTTGATGTCGTATTCTTTGAGGTGGACGAGGCCTTCGTGAGGTGGCATGTTGCAGAGTCTGTTGAAATAGATTGTGAATAATGATGTGGTAGATGGTTGGTGGCGGCGGCGGCGGCGAGGCGAGCTCTGCTCATTGCGGGGGCGGCAGAACACGGCGGGGGAAGGCGGTGAACCGGAGTCAGCATGTGATCGACGCCGCTTTTCCATTATAGCTTAAACCAACGCTGCTAACCTTCCAGAATGGTATAAACAGGAGGATGACTGGTCCATAGCTGGTCAACTTTCACCACCAAGGCTCTTACTTAGAAAGATAAGTCTTGTTCCATGCACATACGGAGGTGACACGATCCGCGACACCTCCAATCAGGGCCGGTTCGACTGAGAACTGGTTGATCGTATCGATCGTGGCGCTGGTGGATTCCACGTTTTGGATTGCTTGACCTCGGATTGGCTCCAAAATCTCTCACCAGCGAATACCTGCAATGTGCGGCCGGCAATGGCACACTGCCGATGACTTGGACTGGGCTGTCTTTATAGTCCACTACATCCTAAAGGGTAACAACTATGCACTGCTCCACATTGTTTGACTGCGAGGGACTGGTTCTAATAGGTCTAAGCAGCACACATCCAGCATCACACTGCAACATGAAATCTGTCATCTCTAACACCCACATCAGGCTAATAGATGCAGCACCTGACAGCTTTACCAGACACTTATCTGATCGTACCATCACCCATAGCAATCAGTATGACGCACATAAGCCTCCGGGGAAGTCCCCGGTTAGGATCGTCTGATGCACGAGAATTCCAGCACTGCACTGGAAAGGAATCCTCCCCGCAGATCGCTCGTCATGTCCATCCCTTGCATTCCTTTGCTATGCGCCTAATATAGAAGGTCGGTCCAGATTACCGAGCTGGAATGTTTGATATGCATTCCCGCCATACTACCACCTCAACAGCTATCACTAACTTCCTTGGAAGAGAGGCAATATCCTTGACTGAAGCGTGATATTCCAGTATAACTGCTTATACTTATCAGCAACCTCCATGCACACCCTATACTCTAGCAACGCTATGCCCAAGTTACCACACACACCACGACTGCATCGAGTCGTACCCCTTGATTGGGATACTCGACTCCACAGTCATAGACGAGGTATATGCAAAGCCTCCACGCGATGATCTTCTACCACTTTTAGAACCTGACGCGTGCTGCTGCGTGACTGCCACTCCTACACGAAGACCAGTAGTTACGTCCGGAAGATAGTTTCCACTGCTGTCCAGTGCAGTCGAATTTGCTATAGAAATGTACTGCAGCCATCCATGGGTTCCATAGCCTCTCGAATACGTACCAGCACACGGCAAAATCAACATGAAATCACCTCTTGTGGAAACAGCAGTAATGGACGAGTATCTACTCAAGAATGACCTCGAGTTCACCAGCGACGGACAGTTCGTCAAATGGGGCAAAGGAAACAAGAACCACCCTCGCAACTGGAGCACCACCCGGAAGGTGTTTGACATTGGCCTTATCTTTCTATTGGATCTCTTCGTGTATGTCACCACACCTCGCGTTGAACCATGCTAACCTGCAAAGAACTGCGACGAGTACAGCTGGTGTATGTTCCATGTTCTTAGAATCGACCTTTCTAATCATCCCAGGCATCGGCCGCATCTGAAGCCCGCCATGAATACCACATCGGGGCCACCTTGTCCACCTTTTGCTTCGTGACTTTGTATGTTCTTCCCCTACCCTGTGACATCAGCTAACCCCTCAGATTCCTCATCGGACAGGTAGTCGGCGCCATCATCTTCCCTCCTTGGTCCGAATGCTTCGGCCGTAAAAACCTCTATATCATCAGCAGCACCGGTAGCAGCATATGCTGTCTGATCATCGGGGTCGTCCATTCCCTAACCGCCGTCATCATCTGCCGCATCCTCGGGGGCTTCTTCAGTGCAATCCCCTACACCGTGGGCAGCGGCAGCAACGAAGACATGTTCGATACCCGCGCACGCATCTGGACCATCTTCCTCTGGACGATTGCCTCCAACGTGGGTCTCCTCATCGGACCCATCACCAGCACCATCATCATCGAAGCCCTCCACTGGTACCCCCCTCCCCCCACCCCCTTCACCTCTCTCCCCAAACTAACCCCCCACCCCAACACAGGCGCTGGGTCTTCTACATCTACACGATAATCCTCTCCCTCCTCAGCCTCCTCTTCCTCCTGATCCGAGAATCCCGCCCCGCCCTCCTCCTCGCGCACGAAGTCTCCCGAATCGAACGCGAAACCAACCCCTCTACGCCCCTCCACCCGCTCAACCACGACCACTCCCCCGACATCCGCACCTTCATCAAAGCCTCTCTCTTCCGCCCCTTACATCTCTTCTTCAGCGAACTCCTCATCTTCACCATCGCCATGATGATCGCCTTCTCCTTCGCCCTAGTCTACATCTTCACCGAAGCCCTCCAACCCATCTACGAATCCATGGGCTTCAGCCCCTCCTCTGCCTCTCTCCCATTCCTAGCCCTCGGCGTCGGCGTCATCATCAGCACCCTAACCCGCTTCTTAGACATCCACATCCTAAACACCCGTCGGGCGAACTCCCAGCCCATAAAACCAGAAGATAAACTCATAGGCCTGGCCATCGGTGCCCCGGTCTTCGCTATCGGACTCTGGTGGTTCGCGTGGACGATCCCACCTTACGCCGAGCACATCCACTGGATTATCCCCACCATCTCACTAGCATTTATCGGCTACGCCCTGAATGAATTCGACACCGTCCTCTACGGATATCTCTCAGATAGTTACCTCAGCTACGCAGCCAGCGGAACAGCATCCGTACAATTACTCAGGGCGTTATTATCCGGTGCATTTCCATTATTCACGAGACAGATGTTCGCTGGATTGGGCAATAATGTGGCTGCGTCGTTACTGGCGGCTCTCGCGACGGCGTTTTGTGCTGTTCCGGTGTTGTTTTTGTTCTATGGGGAGAGGATTAGAGCGAAGAGTCGGTTTGCGAGGTATAGTCTGGAGATTCAGGATGAGGTGGGGAAGAGGGGGTAGAAGAAGTATTTTCTGGGTTGGAGGGGTGAGATGGGGGATGGGGGGTTTGTATGATATTGTTGTTGGTGTTTGTTATGTGTTTATGATCAGTGTTTATGATTGGTTTTATTATGAGATGGTAAAAGAAGGGTGATATGTATGGGAGCCCATGGTTATTAACTACAAACGAGGCAAAATTGAAATTGTACGAGCTCTTAGTTAGGAACAGGGATGATACATTGGAATGAATACCTTGCAGGTCGGAGAGGGAAGTTGACTGTCCTATGTTGCTGCATAATATGGTTTTGAGTAGTTCTATAGCTTCGCATGGCTCTACCCTGCGTGGAGTCATAGGGTATTCGTATGTGTTGGTATATCTGTTAAATGTTGATAAATTTTATTACTGCTAATGCGACTGCGGCTGCTAGGAACGATGAATTTGGTTATTTGTTATCCGGTTCAGACAATTTGGTAAACGCGATAACTGACAGATTCGAACGAGAAATCAAGACCGAAAAAGTGGACATAGGAAGGTAAACAAGATAAGAATCCACCACGTTCAACACACCCAGTATCCCGGTTGGCTGTTTAGCTGTGACCAACAGACAGATAATCATAAAGAGTCATGTCAGGTCATTCCTAGTGTGTTACCTGATAGGGAGGTCAAGTACATTCCTTCGCTCCGCAAGCCCCTCAGGTTGATATCTGGCCCACCCCGGCTCCAAGTGTCGCCACTTATTCTCCAACATCTTGATCACATATGGCAGCTTCACCTCTAGATCATTCATCTGCAGCCGCACTCTGTGCGAGCCCTGGGGAAAATTCAAATACAGGTGTCCTTCCCAGACGTGGCAGGTGATGGGTTCTCTAAAGCTCATCTGCCAGATCTTCCCAAACCATAACTTCCAGGTTTCTTTGTCCAAGCTGGGAAGCATGTCGTAGAATTCAGGTCGTCGGAGTACCCATTCGGGGTAGAACCAGTGGGGATCGGGCTTGTGGAGGAGAGAGATGATATATCTCACAATATGTGGTGGTAGTCTGCCCTTTCCGTAGAATACGCAAGCTGCTGATAGAGTATGCATGTGTGCATCTCTTTGCAACACTGGCACTGCCGATTCGCGATTCATGGGTGAATCTCCTGCGAGCACTGGCAGTAGCCGCTTGAGGTCTTCGGTTGGCAAACCGGGATCTTTACCTAGTATTTTCGATAGTAGAACCGAGTGCCAGAGATCGTGAGAGCAGATTTGTGTTGCCTTGGATTGCAATGTGCGAACAATATCCTCAGGGAGAAATATCTGTTTGCTCAGTGCGCTGAGCGCCAATTGTAGCGAGTTGGCATCGTCTAAAAATTCATGGACCAATGACCGTAAGACATGTTGGGGCAGGGCTCTCTGTGGGAGCAAGGCATATATTGCGCTTTGTCGAGCCGTCTCTGACGTATCCCTGAAAGTGTCGATTAAACAGTCGAACAAAGGCCGAGATTTGATGGCTTGATATCCCAGGAGCGCGGCAGCAGTATACCGCACAAAATCGACCTCGTGGCTCAGACCCAAAAGCAGAATCTGGACAAGATCAATTGATAACGCACCTTTCTTCGCCAGAATTCCCGCGATTTGCAGAACCCGTAATCTGGATGGTACGAGGATTTCCAGGAGACCTGAATATGAATCGCTGGCCTCTTGCTTCAAATAGAAAGTCAACTGTTGCACAACATCTGGTAGAAGATCGCTCTCGAGGTCTAATAGTCGAGCCGCACAGCAGACCTCGTCGTCGTCCCCGTGCAGCGTGAAACTGACGACCTTGCCTAGAACTTCTGTTGACAGGCCTTTCCAGCCCTGTATGGCCACCATTACTTGTATTCTCACCAAGCGATCGCAATCGTCAAGGCAATTGACTAGCTGACACTTGATTTGGTGGCTGACGTGAACTTGAGTCGACAGTGCCTCAACTGCCCGTTGTCGGACACAGGGATTACAATCCACGAGGAGCTGTTGTAGGTGGGTAATAATCTCGCCAGGTAAATTGCGTTGCGAGCGCAATATCATCGGCGAACCCTTTTTCGATACTAGTAGATTAACAAGGCTCGCACAAACGTCAATATTGAGATCCGATCGAGTACTCAGGCCAGCCAAGGCGCTCTCTGCGACATCAGCATCAGTCTGGAAAAGCGCTCGGAGGGCCTTTCCAGGAGCAACATGCGCATACATGCCGAGAATCTGGGATGCCTTGGGCCGGATGATCATGGGATTGCTTGCAGCCAGGCAGTGTTCCACACAATCCAACAAGCCTGCCGACATGTGCGTACGGACAGGCAACTTGAATAGGACCGCAAGCTTATGTTCTGCTGCACCGGTAGTCAGAATTTCCTTCTCGATATGGTCGGGAAACTCTGACTCGCTGATGATGGAAGACGGAGGTCCGTCATACCGTACGACGGCGAGAAGCGATGACTCTAATTTCCTGCGCAAGCCCTCAACGGCCGAATGCCCTGCAATGGGTGGGACCTCCGCAAAACAGTGCATCAGAGTCCGCAGGTGGCCGGGTCATAACAGATCACGAGCGTTGGACTCGAAAATCTCCAGGAATTTTAACAGACCGTTCGGATCGCTTTGGTGCAATATACCTGCTACGAACCGCCACATGATATCATATCGTGGGTGGTATTTCCTGGTACATATCAGGGCCTCTGTAGAAACATGGGACACGGATGGTTTCCCCGAGGATCCGAAGCCAATACATCTCAACGGTTGATTTTCGGTCCAGCATCGTATGAAGTACCGCGCCGCAAAGTAATCTCGAAACGTCAGATGAATAAAGTGGAAGGTTTGGGAGGCATGTCGGACTCCGTCAGATGTGCGCAAGAATGAGACCCTTTCCAGAATGTTGTCGGTGGTGGCTTGAAACAATTCATGAACGGCATCCCGGTGAGCTTCACTAAACTCAACGACGTTGTTGTAAAGACCGTTAAAAGCCAGAGCCTGCTCCAGATGAAGTCCTTCCCCCACAACAGCTTCTATCTGCTTATGGGTCCGGCAGTTCTGAGGCCGGATCTCACCCACTGCCCATTGCCAATCGGTCCTGGGAAGCGTCGCAATATCGTTGCTCCAAAGCTTCCTCTCAATGACATCGTAAAGACAAGCCAGCGTCATCGGGGTGTCTGGGGAAAGGTCCGGGTGCCCCCAGGCCACGCAGAATGCATCTAGCTGGATTGGAATCTGTAACAAGGCTTGGATGGGCCAGTGCCGGTGAATGAATCCCTGCATATTCCTCCGTGTCTCCGGGTTTTCCTCGACCATTTCAAGATACAAATCGACCTGGGAAGGGCCAAACCCGGTGGTCTCCAGTTCGAGATCAAAGAGGCCAGTGTGCCCCTGGAATAAGGAGCTGACGGCATAGGGTCGGGACGTCACAATGACGTTAGGGAAATTCAGTAATGCCCAAAGAGATCCTGAAACCGTTTCCCCGGAGGCCTCATCCAGCCCATCGATAAGGAGCAATGTCCGATGATCCGTGTCAAAGATCGTACGGCGTATGGCGCTGAAAAATAAGTCAACCTCCTTCTCGCGGCTCAGGTATTCTTGTTTCAGGACGTCCCATACATCCAGCCCCCTTTTGGGCTGACGGAGTGGAATCAAAATGATTCGGTCGAATTTATCTGCCCACATCTGATTGTGGTAATAATTATGGATTATCTTGTTGCACAAAGTCGTCTTGCCCACCCCTGCCTGTCCCGTAATCAGGATACGCCTTGTGTCTTGCACGGTGTTATCTGTGTGCGTGCGGAGAGAAAACAGCTTAGATAGTGCAACCTCATTCGTCTTCTTGATTCCATCACTGGAGATATTGGGTGGTTCCAAGATCGAAAGATTTGTCTGACGACGTGAGACTGTATTTACGGACGTTCCATTCCGCTCCCCCGAGGACTTCACCACGACAAGATCGATGTAGGACTGCTCAATGGTGTGTGATGTCCCTGACAGGCGGATGATGCTGAGCCTCTTGGGGCTCGTAGAAACCCGCCTTATCAGCCTGTCGGCGTAGAACCTTTGGGCACCTATGCAACTTTCCCATGCTGTTTCGAGAAGATCCTGGGCGGTCCTCTGGGCGCTTGTTTGGTGCTGGCAGAACAAGGAAACCCTGGGCTGAGACGTCCTCTCCAGACTCTTATGTCGGTCGACCCGCGGAGCATGTCTCGCTGTTCCTACCCAGCGCCTGGGATCAAGGCGGAACCTTTCAGCAACGGGCTGATCGATCCAGTGAGGCTGTTCCATGGTTTCGGCCACTAACTCTAGCCACTGTTGGACTGGAGAAGACTTTGAGATGACAACTTGAACCCTTTCCTGTGACATCGTCCAATCGATGAATTCGACGATACGTTTTTCCCAGCTTCATCACCCGCCGCCCATATCTGTTCGAGGTAGGCATATAATCCACACTAATATTGTGCATCATGGGAGCCAGGGAGGTCCCCAATGAGCTCCCTCAATATTTGTAAGGCACCTGCTTCAATGAGTAACTTGCTATACCGAAGCGAAGTATACCAAACGTTCGCTTTGGGCAGTTTGTCGAGATCATGTAAGATCTCCTGGTTCAGTGACCGACAGGCAGTAGAAACATCGCCGACTGCTTCTACAATCCTCTTGTACAACTCCAAAAGCTCTTTGACGTTGGAGCCAGCATCGATGGCTTTGGTCGGATCCAGGGTTGTGACAGCCCCGGAAATCTTCCCTGTTGCCTCCAACAAAGTCCAACTATAACGGCAGAAAGCCTGCCACCGACTCTCATCGTCTGGCACGCAACGCAGAGCCTGATATGCGTAGCTTGCTGCCTGAGCCAATCTGGGTTCTTTACTTTCCCGCAGCTTTCCAAGCTGTTTCAGCAACGGACCGTGTAGATACTCCCTGGTAATACCAGAAACCTTTATATCCGCCATAGCATCCAAGACAGTGCCCAACATGCACAACAGCTCATATTGCTTTTGCTTTTGTGCCAAATCCACCCTCAGCTTCAATCGAGCAGACAGACCGTTCAATGCTGTCGCCAAGCTCGTATTCTCGGCCGACAAGAATTGTTTTCGCCGAATAGCATGGGCAAAGCAGGTTAAGAGTCTGTTGTTCAGCTCTGTTCCATCCCCGGCGTGCTCAGCTATCAGGTTGGTGAACCCCCTGATAATGACATTTTATTGGTGCTCGTCGGCCACAGCTGACAGCTCGGAAGCTTCCGTCCAATAGGAAGTTTTGCGGTTGTCTTCGAATAGCTGCACCATTCGCTCCACCAATTCGAATAGGGCGTCTTTTTCCTTGGAGTCATCGAGCAGCTCGCGTAAGCGCTTGATGAGATCCTGCATTTCTGTTGGTCTTGGTTTGTCGGTGTCGGGTGGGTCCATGATGAATTACTTTGGAAAAATGGTTGATTGAAAAGAGATCGAATCGTTCGCTGCTTCTTGTGACTGCTTTCTTTCTCGATAATATCCAAAGAACACGTCGGGACGTCTCAACTGCCGTTGGAAAAGGGGCAGGCTCATCGCCGTTCAGCCTGATGCTGACGTTGAACGTTACACATGACATGATGCTGGGCTTAAGCCCGGGCCTATCTTGGCCTGCATGAAGCTGATAATAACAGCAGTGGGTGTTGCTGTGAAGTGGTATATTGATGAAGGCTGAAGCATGGCCTCCCATGTGTCCGGTAGATAAGTGCTCCACATGAAACACCGGCCATAGACGACAAAAGTTTCTGGCCAGAAGGTTGAAGTAGTTTCGTTTTAGGTTTCACTGAACCTCGTTGAGTCTTCGAGTGACTAACACGTATACGCGCCCGGGGCTGAAACTTAGTCATATTCAATGAGCTTTGACGGACTCGATGAAAGGACGGCTGTTCCTTGATGGTTGATGATTGTCTAGATGCAGAACATGAATTAAAAAGATAGCCTCGGTGGGAAGATGAATCCCGTAGATCACACATGTCGGATTGTCCCTACCTAGGAGGGTATGTCCGTCAAGGAAGGTGCCCTGCATTATTCGCACAGCACAAGTGGCGACAATCCACTTCTTCGGTTAGAAGCCATCATTGGATCCGTTTGACCGTCCGTAGGGTATTTAGGGATGGTATCCCTCGCTTTTATATCATCAGTATGTACTTGTTAGCAACAATCCTCCCAATTGGGACATTATAGAACTCTTCGACAATCAATACATTCAACATAGTCTGCATATACACTATTCATCATTATATCTAGACATGACTCAATTACAGCCCCAGAGCAGTCAGGATAGCCTTTCCAACACCGGTGGCACTAGCCGGGTTCTGTCCGGTAATCACGGGACCACCGAGTCCAGCAACCTGGGAGACAACGACCTTCTCGGCCCAGGGGTCAGCACGGACGTAAGTGGCACCCACGCGCTTGAGCTCGTCCTCGAGCATGAAGGGCATGATGGAGCTGAGCTGGACCTGGTCCTCCTCGACGTTGGAGAAAGCGGTGACCTCGGCACCGGCCAACAGAGGGGTTCCAGAGGGAGTAGTGGCGTTGACGAGAACAGCGGGACCGTGGCAGACAGCAGCAACGGGCTTCTTGGCGGCAGCAAAAGCCTGGATCAGAGCCAGGGAGGTGGAGTCGCTGTAGAGATCGTACATGGCTGCGTTCTGTTAGTAGCTGAATGGGGTGGTAGTGGGGGATGCTTACGTCCGTGACCACCAACGTAGAAGATGGCGTCAAATTCAGACACGTTGACATCGGAGAGCTTGACGGTGTTGGTCCAGAGAGCCTCCTGCTCCTTCAGGAACTTGGAGGAGACGGGGTCCTCCTTGAACATCTCGACGGAGCCGGGGTCGAGGGGGGCCTTGCCACCCTTGGGGGAAGCAATCACAAGCTCGGTCTTCCCCTGGAGGACGTCCCAGGGGTGGGCAAACTCGGGCTATAGCGGTCAGTGGAGTTTGAGTGGTGATGGTGGCAGACATACCAAGTACCAACCGGTGGGCTTGGCGTTGGCATTGTGGTGGTCGTGAGAGGAGAGAACGACGAGAACCTTGGGAGCCATTGTGATGATGGTGTGATTGAGGATTTGAGAGGTGGTTTGGCAATTGTGGAGTGTTTAATGATCCTCTCGGGGTGTCAATGGATGTATTTAAAGAGCGAGCGGTGCCTGGCGGGGTGCAAAGTCTGGCTATCGTCATGACATCAACCGGCCAAGCTTTGGTGGGGGGCAGGAATGCCCCATTGCTATTGGCTGGCGGACGGGGCAGACCAGCCTGTCCGGAAAGGGATTAGTGTCCGCGGAGGATCCCTGTCGATTTATCAGCAGCGTCATTATTCAGCAGCTTTCGGTGCCGGTCTCTGCTGTTCGATCTGAGTGTCGAATTGTCTCTGTACTGATGTTGCATGATCAATAATTTTACGAAAAGTCTGCCATAACTGCTTCTGCACATATTGTGGCGTTGCAAGCGTGTGGATCTCCGGTATGAAGCCATGCCTTATCTCCGGATCCGTTAGCCTGCTTACCGAAAATCCTTCCCTTGGCGATGGACGGACTGAGACATTGGGTGTAGATCGGGTTAGCACCACGGCTATCACGGGACAGGGCTAATCAACCCGGCAGGGTGGGGCGGCCGTAGCGATGAGTAGCCATTCAAGTTTCAACAGAGGGAAGAGTGATTCCAAACAGTTCTTTTCTTGTCTTTGCCCGGTCGAGCGGAGAAGCATCGGAGGTGGGTCTCTCCGTCAGGGTCCTTTGTTTTACGAAAGGAGTCCTGGGAAACCAATTCCGATCTTTGAAGCATCTGTAGCTGTTGGCTACGTTATTAGTGAATAGTATTGCGGACTTGGTTGTGATACTCTATTTCATGCGTCGACATCATTCACGGCTGCATCCCAGAATATATATATATTTCAGTCACAGTTTGATGGACCAGTACCCCAGAGCTGGAAAGGCCTACTCTGGGTTACTCGTTCAAACTTCAAACAAGTCTTATAACAAGAGAATGAAATATTGCGTTCATTCTACACTACTCTGTACCTAGCTGCACTCACAGATGAGCCAGGACAGCATCAGCACCCGACACCTGAATCAGTCAGCACATCCTTCCTACCACAAGGACCACAAGCACAGGGAAATACCTTAACAACCCCCTTCTCCATCTCAATCTGGGCATAGGTGACCTTGCCATGATCAATCACAATGGCAAACCGTCCGGTGCGACCGCCATTGGCCCAGCCGATGGTGTTGGAGAAACGCGCGTCGGGATCGGAGAGGAAGAGCTACCCTCGTTAGCCTCTACCCACCAACCAAAGACCTCATCAGAGCAACTCACAATATCATCACCCTTGACATTGTTGGCCTTTCCCCAGGCACTCATCACATAGGAATCATTGGACGCGATCACGGCAACAACCTGCACTCCCTTCTCCTTCAATTGTGGGAGGTTCTGGATGTATCCTGGGACATGGTTGATCGAGCAGGTGGGGGTAAATGCTCCTATGATATTTCATTATTGGCCATAATTCCAGAAAAAAGGAGTAGATGGGAAACCAACCGGGAACAGAAAACAAGACGACCTTCTTATCGGCCCATTCCTTGGACGCGTTGTAGTTGATGGGAATACCGCAGGCGGTGATCTCGCCGCTGTCTTCGGTCCAGGGGATGTACCTGTCCTTGTGTTAGATGCTATTGGCAGAGTGTCTGGTTAAGACGCACTGGAAGACCACGTCGGAAGGGAAGGAATCGCCGGGTTTGAGGGCCATTGTGGTGGTAGAGGGGTATCCAAGTGGGTGGTGTTGTTGTTGGGATAGAAGTGCGGGGTCCGGAGTAGTTTAGGTTGGGAGAAAGCCAAGTAGCTACTATCTACGCGCCATGTCACCATCGATTATCTGGAATCCTGATTGCTGCAGGCCGGCCTCGGAGGTCTCCGCATCCCGCATCGCTTCGGCTCGGGCGGCAGTGGATTTCTTCATCCAAACATTCATTTCATGATTCTATTACATATGCTCTATTCTATATCATCTCACATTAAATCGCCCGGCGGAACTGCACCGGGACATCCACCTTGGCGCCCAACTTCTTCGCCGCGTTCATCACCCACTCCGGCTCGCGCATGAACTGTCGCGCCATCAACACCAGATCCGCCACGGGCTCCGGCCCAGACACTGTCGCATTGGCCGCGTGTGCCTCGTCAGCGCCCTGAACCAGACCTTGGGCCTGCTCGGCTTGCGTGATGAAGCCGACCGCGCCCACCAGCGTCTTGGCGCCGGTCGCACGGATGGCCTGGCGCACTTCCGAGGCCAAATCAATGTGGTAGTTGGTGTGGAGGTTGATCTTCTGGTCCTTGTGGTTGCCCCCGGAGCTAACATCCAGCAGGTCGACTCCGAGCTCCGGAAGCAAGGGAAGGAGCCTGAGCGAGCTCTCCATGTTCCACGTACCCGATTCCGCCGCCACATCCTGTCCATCCAACCACTCCGTCGCGCTGATACGGAGGAACAACGGAGTACCGGTGGGGATAACAGCACGGATGGCAGTCAGGACCTCGCGGAGCATACGGGTGCGGTTCTCAAAGCTGCCTCCGTACGCGTCCGTCCGCTTGTTGGTAACCGGGCTCAGGAACTGGTTCAGCAGGTAGCCGTGAGCGGCGTGGATCTCGATCACATCGACACCAGCCCGGACAGCTGCCTCGGCGCTCTTGGCAAAGGCCTGCACCAGTTCCTGGATTTCCTCCACCGACAACGCCCGAGGGGTGCAGTATCCCGGGCCCCAAGTGTGTTCCACCCCCCCGTTCGGACCGACCACGTTGGACGGCCATCCACCCACGCTCTCTTCGGCAATGATGGCGGCCTTCTTTGCCTCTGCAGCAACCCAAGGGGCGACAACGCTGGCCTTGCGACCCGCGTGGGCCAGCTGGACGGCCACCTTGGCGCCCTGGCTATGGCAGAAGCGCACGATACGCTGGAGGCTCTTGAATTGTTCCGACTCGGGGGAATGATCCCAGAGACCAACATCATTCGGCGAGATGCGACCGTTGGGCTGGACAGCCTGCGCCTCCACGAAGACCAGACCGGCACCCTTGAGAGCAAACTGGCCCAAGTGGGCGATGTGGTAGTCGGTCAGGGCGCCTAGGAGGGGCGAGGAGGGGTCGCTTTCGGCGGAGTACATGCACATGGGCGAGACTACAACACGGTTCTTGAGGGTCACATCGCGAATCTGCAGGGGACGAAAGAGGGTGGGCGTGTCAGGGTCGGCGGGGTTGAGGGCTGCACCGCCGTTGTTGGCCGGGGTGAAGTAGGGGGTCTGCTCGGATTGAATCACGCGGGGGGCTTGATTGATGGAACCCATGATGATGGATTGAAGGAGGATGTCTGTGGCAAGTCAGACATGATGGCCATTGCGATGCGGCTTTTATAGCCCGCGCGTGGGTGTTGAGGTGAAGATGAATTATTAATGGAACCAAAAGTTGGATGGGGTCATTGCTGACAAATGGCTCGGATATCGGCAGCAGTCAACTGCCCTTGAGACGGTATCATTGAGGATTATGGATCACATTTACCAAACCTAGAGCTACGGAGAGATTGTGGCCTGAATTATCTTGATCACGTTGGCAAATACCTTGGTGTCGGCGAGCCAGATCGAGTCGTGTTCGGTTCCTTTCTCGACCACCGACTCGAAGATGATGGCCTCGCGCAGATCGGCCTGCGTAAAGCAGTCCTCAAAGTATTTCTGCCCCTTGGGCCCAATCATTCCATCCGACTCGGCAAAGTGTACCTTGACCCGTAATGCTTTCTCCCCGGGATGATCTTGCCGGTACTGTTCTTCCGCCTGCACCAGCTCTTGGAGATAAACCGGCAAGTCTTCGCAGGCTCCCCACAGCCCCGGCGCCTTCTTCAGGCAGACCACCGCCTCGTCGTTCATGCCGCTGGTATCCTCCAGGCACACATAATCCATGGTTAAGCGGTCCAACACCTTGACCATCTCCAAGTTCATCCCATACTCTGACAGACAGGCCTTGGATTCGCGGCCTGTGTCGGCACGCGCGCCGGAGAGACGATTGACCACCGCAGAGAACGTGCTTGCACTGGCGTTGACCGATGGTAACGCTTTCACTATAAGATTCATCAGCTTATCATAGTGGTTGAGGATGCCCGTGGGGAGCATCTGGGCCATCTTCAAGGATACAATGCCCGAGTGCTTGGGCTCAACCCATGGTCCTGCGCGTGTCAGCGGCATGTTGCTTGTCACAGGAATGGACGAACCCATCAAGACGGCCAGCGGCGTCTTTGGCCAGAGAAGATCCCGGCGCTGCGAGAGCAGATTGAGGAGGTAGATGGTGCCAGCACTATGAGATAGAGGAACGACATGCGGGATGGACAGGTGCTCCAACACCGCCGCGACTGATTCCAGCCAGATGGTGACTCGTTTTGCTGCAGGGATGGGGGTGGACCCGCCGATGCCGGGGCTACGCTGTTAGCTTCATAGCGGAGATAGGAGAAGTCAACGAGAATACCGGTCGATAGCTAGCATCCTCACTCTCAGTTTGTTGGCTAGGTGGTCTTTATGATAGCACCATAGGCGGGAGCCTCCCATGCCCTGGATGAGCAGGATGGTCGGAGTGGGTTTCCCATTTTTCTTCACTTTGGGCCCAATGTCTGCATAGGAGATGGCTAGAGGGCCATGATCTGCGGTGGCAGGGAGGACTAGGCGCTGGTGGAAGCGCTTTTCAGCAGCAAACTCGAGCACGTGGGTACGATCAGTCATGGCTGCAGTCGACGTGTCCTCATGGACGGACGTTAGGATGCGGCTGGATGCTAGTGCGGGGAAGGATTTAAATAAGCTAACACGATAGGCAGCAACCCCAGGCTTTATTTCGTATTCCGCCAGTTCATCACTATGGCATCACATCCATCCTTTTGGTATATACAGCGGATCTCACTACGCCTGGAACACTCTCCGCCCCTCAAACCACGTCTCCAACACGGTCGCACCCTTGAATTCTCCTTGGCTCAAATCCCGATCGACCAGAATAAAATTGGCCATCTTGCCCACCTCGAGACTGCCTGTGCGATGCTGCGCCCCAACTGCCTCGGCCCCGCTGAGGGTTAAGACGCGACATAAAATCTCGCCGCCTCGCTGCAACGCCGTCTCCCCCGGTCCCAGACGGCGAGAGCCTCCGCCAGGTAAATACCGCACCCGCTTTACAATCGCAGCCAGCGCGTCGAACAATGATGGGGTCTCGGGGAGCATCCAGTCCGACCCAATGGTCATGAGTGCGCCCGTCGTGAGCACCCCGTTGAAGGCCCATTTGTTGAGTTCGGGGTATTCATCCACCACGTCATGATGGAAGATGGCTGGCGACATTTCTGCCGTCACTCTCAACGGAGCGAACCGTGCAATGTCATCTGCATGCACCGCATTACAATGGGCAAGCTCGTGTCGTGGACCCGCCGGGTTTCTTTCCCGGACCATGGCAATCACATCTAGCGCCTGTCGCGCAGAACCCTCCCCTGCAACGTGCAACTTGCACGTCATGCCACGGCTGTCGTATTTCTTGACAGCTTCAAAGAGGAAATCTCCATCCAACGCCAAATGGGTCGGAATGGGTCGGCCATTTGCATCCAGATCCGCCTGCGTGAATTCGGGGGGCAGGGGAGCCCCGTCCAGCCAGAATTTGACAAACTGGGTATGAACATGCCGGCTTCGGAATCCCTCTGCTACGTCCAATAGCCCTGCCAGGCTGTCCTGCGGCTCCATGGCAAAGTACACTGGCGCGGCCACAATGTGTGTGTGAATATCAAGATCAAGGCGATTTTCTTGCTCCAGTTCCCGGACTGCATGTAGGTATAACGTATTGGCCGACGCTTCCTGGCAGGAAGTAATTCCAAATCGATGACAGATCGACATGGCGTGCTGGATCGCCCTCTTCATATGTGCCAGGGGAGGAATGGGAAGGCAGTCAAAGACCGCTGTCATGGCATTCTCAACCACCTCACCTGTCAGTTTTCCGTCCTTACGACGCACATAATATCCCCCTTTCGGATCTGGGGTGCCGTTGGGATCGATCCCCGCGCGCAGCAGCCCCTCCGTGTTGAGCAGAATCCGGTGACACGAGACTTCGCGGATGAGAACCGGCTTGTTTGGATACCGCTCGTCGAGGTATTTGCGATCGGGGATGCCGTCGGGAAAGTGGCTGGCTTGGTAGAAGTTTCCGATCAGCCAGTCGCCCGTGACGTTGGCATAGGCGCATGCACAGGAGCTGTGGGCGAGTCGAGAGGTGATGTTGTCGGGCGTGGAGTTGAATCCGATGCGGGCTTCATTCAGGGCTTGGAGGCCGGCGACAAGCAGGTGGGTGTGGGCGTCGTGGATGCCGGGCATGACGAAGCGCTGCCGGAGGTCATATTGAACTAGACCGCGCGAGGCGGCAATCTTCAGAACAGCTTTGTTGCTGCCAATATGTTCGATGATCCCGGTGGGGGACACAATGAATGCCTCCGCCCAGGGCTGGTTGCGATTGATGGTGTATACCCGGCCGTTGTGAAAGGCGAGGGCTTTGCTGGGATCTATCGATGAGTAGACGCGCATCGTGAAGATGGAAACTCAATTTCTCGACAATTCACATGCGCGTTGACGGTCTTTATATGCTGACCGGCGGTGTTGAGATGATCTGTCCACTCGGAATATTGTGTTGATGGACCAGTCATACCCAACAAACATGCGTCACCGTACAATGACCTGTCTCATGCCTCCAAGGGGTTGGCCCCAAGGAACTTCCACACCATGGCGCAGTCTAGATCCTCGGCACATGAGGCGCCAAAGACCAGTTCAGCCGACCCGTCGCCAATGTACGTCACGCTCTTGGTCTGCAGATGTCAGCTTGGCCTAGGATCAGACATATAACCTACCAGACCGACTGTCACCTTCGTCGCGGCCTCCCACCACTGAGGGCGATACTCTTCCTGTGTTTTTCCTTTGATACTCCGGATGATATTCTCAGTAACA